ACAGATAAAGGAATCGACGATTTTAAACTTTTGTCGTCGATAATATGAAAATAGCCGTTAAGTCGGAGTCGAATTATTACACAAAATAGTTTTGAAATTATACGGTACAAGTACAGTATAAATAATATAAATACAGTACTTTTATATTATTTTCTACCACTATAATTTAATTCTTAATTACGAACTTCAATTTTAGTAATCTCGGTAAAAGAAATAACTTTTTTTAATTTGAATCTGTCCACGCATATTTAATTTATAGTTTTTTTTATCCATTACTATAATATATTTAAAAAATCAACTTTTAACGCCGTATTTAACAAAAACCCATAGAAACTATTTTCATAAAATCTTTTTATGAAATATTTAAAGTATTCGTGAATACGAATTTGAAATAAGCACAAAAATTGAATACGATGGTATATTAATATTAAATTAAAACGAACAAACGTAACTTTAAAAAATCGCGTTCGTACTTAAATAAAATACTTTTCCCAGCCAATTCCTAAAAGCAGTCTACGGAGGCGATAAAAAATCTAGGAGCGATATCTTGACTTTATCGGCCAGAGATTAAAGGGGCCACTGGCGGAACGAAACGGAAAAAATGTACTCCGACTTCGATGTAGGACTTATTACCAATAATAATTCTATTGAATTTTAAGCGCAATTTTCAAATTAACGTCCCTTTCGAACGTAAAATGATTAACGAAACGTTTCCCGCGCTTATAGCCTTTCGATACAGTAACAAAAGAACGAAATTAGGAACAATTTTCGATCGAAACGCATTATCGGTATACAAACATACCGAGAAGATAGGTGTACGTATCGAGATGTAGAGCAATTCTCTTGTATTTATTCATAAAGTTTGAAGGAAAAAAATTGATCTGTACGGATAAAAAGTAGTCGCTGCCGAAGTTCGATACCAAACACTCTTAATCATTTAAATGTCTTCGGAAGTTAGGATAATGACTAAAAAGTAATTTTTTGAACAATAATACGAAATATAAGAATGCCGTCCGGTCCAAGTTGGTTAAATAGAATTTGACTCTGGTATCGATGGCAAAAAAACGTATCGAAAAGTGGTCGAAGACTATTATTTCGTCTTCGCTAAAGGCTACGACTCCAGTCTCCGCGTTGGCTTAAACTCGCCGCCGGTCGGCCGGCGAAATTTTTACGGCCTGTCAATTTTGTTGGCAATTAGACCGATGACGGAATTTACACGATTCGCGTGTAAATAAATAATAATATACGTAAAGCGAAGATTAAGGAGTAAAGTGAAAAGTCTTACTTGACAAAGGCAAAGTCGCTCTTTACCCAGACGAGACGGAACGAAAGACGATAGTAAATTACCGAGGCTTTAATCGAATTCGAAACGGAAATCGCGATTACTTCCGAAACCGAAATCGTTTTCTGACTCAAAATATTTTCCTATAATTAAGCGTCATCGCTCTTCTCTCGTAAATGTACCAGCTGCCTCCGGTTTATTCGACAGACGTAGGGCCGGAGGGTTTCTAATAATTAGCGTCTAACAAACTGAGCTCTCGAACCCCTAATCTTACGCGCGACGATGGAGGCAGACAGGGGAAAATGTTTCGAAATTGCCACGTCGATTCTCGTCGTGAACCAACGTTTCTCAAACTATTGTATTCGCCACCCGGTATATTTATTTGTAAGGTTCCGCCACCCAAATGTTATAACGAGAAAATGTTTACGAACCCGGTTTTACTCTGAAAAGTATGGCGAGATTTTTTTATAAACTCGATAAACCCTTTTTTTAAAACGTAATTTTCGTGTTATAAGATTTTGTCGATTTCGTTTTGTACACACAAAAAAAGAAAAATTTCTTTAAAATTCATTTTTTCATCCACTCGTGCCAAAATTTATCAGTTATTTATTTTTTAAATAAATTATTGTTGCGTATGTCAATGAACCTAAAAATATGACCGAATGACGAAATATTTTCAAAACCATTGCAACTTAAATGGCTTTATGACGAAAAATATACAATATACGTAATATACTATACATTTATACATAAAATATCCACTTTGATGTTATTCAAAATAGAAGAAACACATTCCGAAGTCTTAAAACTTAAGCCACAGTGATATTTGTTTTCAATTCATTTTTGGACTCGATGTAAAATGTAATTTTCTTTCTCGGCTCGCGTCCTGTTTTTGTTTTTGTTGGTTTCGTTGATTTTTGCTTTAAGATGCTTGTAAAAGGCCAACCCGGCCACAGTGTCTCTTTCAGAAAAAAAAAAAAATAATAATTTTATTCCCGAACGACGAGAATAATCTTAAGTTAAAATTTTCAGCACTTAACAGATGCATTTATTGTTCTTTGTTCTTAGAGAATATTTCAATAATATAAGTATTACGAGTATTTCTGAGGACGGTAGTATCATTTCGCCACGCGTTAACATTTTAACGCCATCCATAGTTTGAGAAAGACTGTTCTAAACCATTGTTATATAGATTTACCGATATACTTTGTACGTATATACCCGTACTTTACAAATTCCTCGTTACGTAATATGTAGAGGAGAAGGTGGTATTATGGAACACTGCGGGTATTATGGAACCACCCCATTTCGAACTGATAATAAAGGCGAACTGTAGCGGAGGCAGACATCCATAGCAAGGGGAAAACCCGTTTTACTTCAGTTAAACGGTTGTCCGTATTTAATCGGCAAGTTTGTTTTTTTCAAAATTTGCAAGTTCTGAATGCTAGGTGAATTTAATTATTTTTAAAATATAAATCGTGTAGTTGTAGGTTCACCGGTGCACGTATTCCGTTCCAGAGACTTAGGGGTACATATTAATCTGTGAGATTTTCACGTTTTTTAAATTTTGGTCTCGACAGACATAAGTTAATTCCAGATGGCGATGCGTGAAATACGGACCCCATTGGTGCTTTTACAGTAATATGGAACTCGACTCCTCCGAACTTTCTATTTGCGAGCAGACATTCCTCCGGAGCAATTTGTGAAAAAGACACTAGGTAGAAAGCCAATTCTTCCCGAGAATATCGAAAAAGAGCTGCTGGAATATATATTGTTGATGGAGGTCATATTTTTCTATTATAAAAGCATTTTTGCGATAAAATACATTGGAGTAAATAATTTGGTAATTATTTAACATTTTTTGTCCTTTCCTATTTGTTTTTGGCTACATTAAAGCATTTTTTTGAAAATATACAGTAAGGTTCCATATTACCACCCGATTTTCTCTAAGCCTACTTTCGGACTTTTTGTACAAAAGCCTTCAAAAACCATACTTATAGTTACACTGGAGAAAAATCCAATTAGGAACATTTAGTTTAATAGTTACCAGTACTTTTGGCACAAAAAATGTGGGTGTAGTTATGATACCTTGTTTACAATTCACTAAAATATAATTGGGGTTCCATAATACCACCTTCTCCTCTATAGCCTAGGGTGGCCATTTCCAAAATTAAAAGGAAGACGTTGCGCGCCAGCCTAAGCGCCAATGGGTTACCGCGCATATCTCGTGCGGAGAGACTGGGGAGTAAGCGGCGGAAAAAATAATAACGAACGGATTTTTCCATTCGATAATAACGAACGGAAAAAAGAACGGTAAGACTGTGCGCGCGAGCGATATCCACGTCTATACGTAATGTCGCGAACTCGCCTATTTGCGCGGCGAGACGCGTTCGTTCCCAGTCGACCCGCGTAAGCTCACCGCGAACAAAATCAAACGAAAACCCTCTCGGACTCGCGCTTGGAACCGCGTTGCGTCCTGCCGTGCGGTACGGTACGGTGCATCCTCCGGAGTACGGCGCAGAAGCGATCCCTTAAGCGGCTTTCCCCTTTCGGTACGTCTTTACGAAATTCCGCCAGCCTTTTAAAGAGCCATTTTCGGCGCAAATTAAAACCCGCGATTATGTAAATTTATGGCGAAACCGTGCAATTTTATTCTTTTCGGCAATTCTTTTGTTATCGCCTTTCTCGGTCGGTAGCGCCAGTGAAAAAATAAAAAATGGAGAAATTACTATATTTTACGAAATTGGAATAGTCGAATTGGTAGAAATTTAGTAGTATTTAAGTAAAATTAAAGTAGGGCTATTCGCTTATTTTTGTATTTTAATTAATTAAATGAGAGTCTATTTAGCCGATTGCGGCAAAATCGTGTAAACTGAGTAGCTTTATAACGCGGAAGGTTTATAGATTAAATTTTGTTACCCATTAAGTATTAAAATTGACGGCAAAACTCGTTCGTATAAAGCCGTGTAAGTTCCTATAAATCGGGAAATTTTTTGTCAATTCTTATCAGTCGAGTACACTGTCCGTCGGTTATATTTACGAGCCGCTCCGAATTCTGACTTCCGAATAAACGTGTTTTTCGCGTAGGAATAGACGAAAACTGATATTGGGTTGCCGCGTGGCTTCGAAATGGCAATTTGGAACGCAATTCTATCGCTATTCGTCTTTAATGCCGACGATAATACGCAAGAACGAATCAAACCACCCAGATAAAATAGCTTTGTTTATAAACACTAGAGGGCGAGTACCCGGCGAAAAATGCCGATAGAAATAAATCGGCATTATTTATTACCGGCTAAAGCGAGTGAACTGCGGAAGCTATGTACAGTACAGTACGGTCAGATTGTTCGTAAGTCCGAAAATTTCTAAGCGCAACGTTTGTAAGGAGAGGGCGCTCCCGTACAATATTTTAGGAGAATGATCTCGCGTACGTAACGACGAAAAATTCAAAAGACAACGGAGGGAGATGGAGAAGTAGCGTGGTTTACACGTTTTCCATTCCTTCGGAAACGAATTGCGATTTTTTAAAATTAAAATATGACATATTTAAAGTTCGGTGGCAATTTATTTCGTCCAATCTTACGATATCTCGATTGTTTGGCGACACGGACGAGAACGAAAACGTCGACGGTTTAAATTTTTGCGTTTCGTCGGCCAACAAAATGGCGCCGGTTTAATAAAACTCGTGGCATTATTTACAAATTAAAAACAAGTTGTCTTTTACACTTTCAAACGTTTGGTTTTAATTCTTTTTTCTATACATTCGCTTGGGAAGACACGATTCTCGGATCGAACGTAATTTTACAAAATTGTTTATTTTATATTTTAGGAAAACGGGCGGAAGACGTCCCGTAGTTTTTCGACAAAATCTATTCTCTCCGATGGGAAGTTAATTTTTTCAAAATAGACGCGAAGAGTGAATTGTTAATTTACATCTTAAACGGTTTCGAGACCGACGTCCAATATAAAAATAAAGTTATAATCGGAACGTATCGGCTATTCTATTTATCGAACAGACAAATTTATACAAATAAATTTACGATAATTACAGACTAAACTGTTTACGAAATTATGCATTTACACGCGTTTCCAGTTTTTATTCCGCAACCAACGAACTATCTCATCTAACTGAAGATCCTCGCTCGATATTCTCTTCTCCGTCTTCTTAATCAGTCTTTCCAGAAATATTCTTTCGTCCTTCGGCATGTCTTGTTTTTTGAAAGTTTCGTACACTTGGTTCATCTGACGAAAAACGAATGGTAATTAAAGTCTACGCCTCTAACGGCGCGCCATTTCTTTCGCCTCCCCCGAAAGCGCGCTTTTGCCACCATTTAACCGACCGAGCGGCGCGGTTCGGTCATCCGCTCTCTTTTTATCCCGCGAATTTCGACAAAAATGCGGGAAATGACGCCGGCCGCATTTAGAAAGGTACAAAAATTTGCCTTTTCGGTCCGACTGTAACGTTCCGCATTCGTTTTCTTCAATTTTTAGCAATTCGTAGGTACTGTTTACAAAACAAAGCAAATTCTATTTTCGCAGCGAAAAAGCACTAATCATAAATTTATAGGAAAGTTTGTAGGTCGTAGTACGGTTAATACGTATTAACCGTGCCGGAAGTGGTCGAATGGCGTTTAGCGCGCAAATACGGCCGGGTGGTGCGAGTTTAACGGAGACCGTCGTTTGGACGTCCGAAAGCTGCCGTTTTCGCGCCGCGAATTTAATTCCGCCGAAAGTCGTTTTACGGCGTCGTATTTCGTCGATTCGACACGGTTTTCTACCAGCGTCCGGGCGAAACCGAGCGTGGTGCCTCTAGCGAACGGTTAAGACCGACTAACGCGCGCTAAGAAAAAATTAGGAAAGAAGCCGTATTTTGTTGTATTCGAATCGAAATTTAAGCTATAACAATCCACATTTAAACATAAAAGGTTTTACCTCCATCATATACGAACGAACAACATGTTTGTTACTATATTCGCATTTTTTACTTAAATCATTTTAATATAATTTGAAAGAAAAGACGATAAAAATCGTTGCGAATAATTGTATATTCATTTAAGAAAAGTTGATTAAATGATGGGATAAAACGAGCCAGTTTTTAAGAAAAGTAAAAGTCATTTTACAAAAACGCAGAATACAGAAATAAATGTTCTCGTAAAGGAGATTTTGTAGAAAAAGAAAGCGACGTTATAAGTAGAACTCGGACAACGGTGACGATACATTAAAGGCCCGTCTTATTTCCCAACACGAATTACAATTCGGCATTAGAGAAATATCAATTTAGCCCCGAAAATGGTAAGTAATTTTCAATTAAACTTAGACCTATTATTTTTTATTACGAATATATAATTGCTTTATTAAATACAGTTTCTTGTAAGAATAGCGCCCGTATCAACGACGGAACTGTTTGGTAGCCGATTATCCGCCTTTTTTCACCAAGGATTAGTTTTTTATTTAATTTTACAGAGTCCAATTCTAACTTATAAGTTCGTTTGTTCGGACTCTACGTAGAGTCCCTCTCGAAACGGGATAACTCCTAATTACGTTAATAAATTATTCCATTTCATTTTTTATTACGAATATATTGGCTTTAAATTAACGTATTTATTAATATTTACGAATTGGAGTATAGTACTTAAAAGAAACAACGATTTTTAATGCTTATTCTACGGAATTCGAACACCGGAAAGAAAAGTTTATCTATAGATGTTTTAAGTAGACGGTCGGGTAAAGAAACGTTATAATTGTCACGGAGCTTACGAATATGGAAAGTGTGGGTAAAATAGGAGTGCCGCAAAAGGGATACGGAGGAATTTTAAAACTCCGAAACGACATTTATTGTACGAAGCTGTGTTTTGTACGATATAAAAAGATGTTTTCAAATAAGCATTTGTTAGTCGTTAGAATTTAAAATGAATATTATTTTACTCGCCGTGTACGCCAGCCTTCGATTTCTTTCGGCCAAGTATACCGCGACTTCTTACCTACGTCATTATTGTCACGCGGCCAAAACGGTTGGAAAGCGCCGCTATATAATAATTTTTCCTTTCTCTTTTTGTACTTTATACTATTTTATATCGCGTGTTTTATTTTTTTGTCCTCGGCCCGGCTAATCGAAACAATGTTAAAGTTTCTTCGATTTAATGCTTTGTTAAAACTTGCATTTGCCTGGATTTTAACTTTTTTCTTTGGTTGTCAAAAAAAACAAATTGCCGATTACCGTATGGGCCTAGATTATTGTATGACATCCATTACTATTGCTTATTGTTTTGTCTTTGTTTTATAATTAATATATTTAATAGATTTGTATTTCTTTGATAATAATGTAATATTTTCGGTATTAATTTAAATAGTTTATATTATTAGTTATTACAAATTTCAAATTAACTTATATTTATTACGATACAGTAAATAATTTATTTTTGTCTGTTAAAATAACTTAAATAGGCCTAATAAGAATTTCCAGAAAAATGATGTTCTATCAATAAATGAAATTAGGATAAACTCGTATCGAAAGTTATTTTTTACGAAAAATACATTTTCGTATTAAAACGTTTAAATTGTAACACCCGGAAACTATGTTAAAGTTTTATAGACGACTATTTGACATACTTTTAAATTTATCTTATACGATAATTTAGCAACTCGATTCTACATTTATATCATTTTGGAAGAAGTTTTAAAATAAACAAATCCGTCGTATATTTGGCGTATATTCCAGTAATTGTACGCGTAAGTGTGTTTAATTATGAATTTGATTGAAGTATAAAAAAGACGATGTTTATACACTTCGATAAACGAAGCGTACCGGAATAAAGTAGATTGTTTCCATCTCATTTCTTTCAAATTATACTTAAATGGTTTAGACCCTGTACACACTAGGCGTTTTTCAACGAGCGTTAGCTCGGCGTTCGACGAGCGTTAGTTCGGCGTTTAGCACTGGCTCAGTTTGGAAATGGACGAGAAAGTAATTGATTGTGTGTGCTCCTCCATCGTCGCTATAAGGCAGCACATATATCTCAAAGCGCCCATAAAGTGCCCGCAAAACGCGCGTTTTAACAAAAATCTATAAACGCGCGTTTAACGCGCGCTTGGCGTTTGAGTGTATACGGCTACATAGAACTCTTGGTTCTTTAAAACGCGCGTTGAAAAACGCCTAGTGTGTACAGGGCCTTAAATAAAAGGTGCGAAAATAGTAATAGGCTATATATTGTTCGTTCGTATACGATGGAGGTATAATTTTTTATGTTTAAATGTGGATTGTCATAGCTTAAATTTCGATTCGAATAAAACAAAACACGGCTTCTTTCCTAATTTTTTGTTAGCGCGTGTTATTCGGTCTTACCGATTACGAGTTCGCTAGAGTTTCGGTCGGCCGACGTGTTCCCGCCGCTGGATTTCTCAGCTCGATTTAAAAGGCCAACTTTATTTTTTATTCGAAAAGAAAAAGAACAAAGTTCTGCCGACTTTTCCCAAATACCGGGATTTTCTATACCGAATCGTAGCGGCGAGCTTCTTACAAATGGCTCGAGAAAATAAAAAAGACGTTTCTTACCTTTGCCAATTCGTCGGAATTTGATATCTTTTGCGTTAAGATTTCCATAGAGGCTTTAAATCTGTCGGAACTGTTAACGTTTAAAATTTTCAATTAATTTAAAGTAAATTAGAAAAACGTGTGGAGCGAAGTTTCTAGGCGAGAAAGAGTACGCACTTTTCTAGCATTCTGCTTCTTTCGGTTGTTATAACGTCGAAAACGACTTCCCACTTGCTTTGGTCCAGAATGCTATCGATTACGAACGGCAGATACTTGGGCTTCTTGAACAGAGCGGCGTTCAACACGCTGAAAATAGAATTGTCCCACTCAAACGTTGGCATTTTTTACGCCCGTCGATAAACGGCGCTGGAAGTTACCTACCGATGGAGGTTGTATTGGTTGTTTACGCATCCCAGAGCGTAAATCACGTCGTCCGAGGGAAATTTTCCTCTTAGGCTTTTAAAGTAGTTTTCCACCTCTTCCCACCTGAAACTCTCGTTTCTGATCGCCGTGCACAGGAACAATTTCACTAAGGGACGGTCGTTCCTGAAATTAACACGAGTCGGATATAAAGCCGTTCTTCGAGAAAATTCGTGGGTCCGGAATTCTTTGCCTTTTCTTTTTTCTAGGAATCCGGAGGTCAATCCGCTCCTCTTCCTCCCTTTCCCACCGATATCGGAAATTCGGCCTAAAATGTCGTAGAAAAATTCTTTTCGCCCCGGAAAGATTTTTAAAAAAAATTACGGTCTGTCTCGGAATAATAGTACTGTACATCTTAGTGAAGATGCAAATATTTATGGTCATATTTTCTAAGTTATTTTTATCTTAGCGGCGACAAGTATTGACACGCCATTATTATAATCCGTTAAGATTGAATTATAAACTCCGTATCGCATCCGTATGGCCGTATTGTATTCCGAAAGAAAAGTTTGGATGGGGAGAATCTGCGGACTACGCACGGGCCGAGTCGTCTTTCGATCGGAAGTCGAAGGCCGGAAGTAGCCAAGACCCGGACGGATCGGGAACTCGACGGAAACGGACAAGAATACGTGGCTATCGGAAATTACTACGGTATTAATAAAAAGCGAGAAGACGGGCAGTGTCGACGGCAAGTGCGTCTCATCGATAAAAATAGACCTTTGAAAAATATAAGATTTAAAGTAAGAGTTATTTTGGTCGTAAAGAATAGAAATAAACAATAAATGAATAAATAATTAGAGTGTAGATGGTAGATCTGGCAACAACAAACGGACACACTTTCTCCCGTTTGCATCAAGAGTGCGCGTGCCTAAGGCGATCTGTCCGGTACACCGTGTCTTACGATATTTCGTAGCTACTGCTGTACGTACCGTACCAGCGGATACGGATACGGATACGGTTACGGTACGGACATTACAACCCTTTTAAGATATAAATAAAGTTAACCTTACTTCTACGATTAACAAAAGTCGAATACTTTATTGGGGAATTTGTTTAAAAATAGGGCTTAGTGTATTTTAAAAAATTAGAAATAAACTTGTAGAAAACTTACGTTTAAGAAAAATAAAGTTTGCACTTTCGTTTTCGATTGGCTTCGGAATTTATCATTTACACTGGCGTATACATTTGACGACAAATTGCTTTAGGAAGTGGGCAATTTTCCCGAAGTAATTGATGCTTCTACCACTTCTATCCCTTAGAATTTGTCATCCAGTTTAAACCGATCGGAATAGGGATGTAAGAATTCGGCCGTTATCGGGATCGTCGCGCCCGAATATAATTTTTTTAAAACGCCTTTTACCGGCACGTGCCAAATTTTACAGCAAAGTTTTACCTTTGTTCGATTTTGTTACTTTTTTTATAGTTTCGACCTTTTTGAGGCCGCGGAAAATACGCGAAATCGTGATACGAACGTGCGCGGAGTACCGTACGTACGCAATATTTCATTTATTACTAAGGTAATTTCGGTTTCGTATAATTAAATAACAGAAAATCGCTTCTTACCTATGAATGTCCTTCCCACGCTTAATCCATTCTTCATACTTTTCTATGGCTAAATTTACGCAAGAAGATTCGTTAACGGAACAAATTCCGCTCAAAATCTCTTTCTTCAAAGTTCTGTAAGTTTATAAATATTTAATAATTTCTTCCGATAATTAGTGAGAGGAAATAAAAACTTTACTTACAATTTGGTTTCGGACTCCATTTTTTCGCCAGATTTCTCTCTTTTAAATTTTCTTTCGTATAATTTTTTAGTAATTTTTCCAATAAACTCCTTTAAATAATAGAATTTCATTATAATTAGGAGTTTTTCCTGGCCGCGGACCATCAATTCTAACATTTATGTCTACCTTATACGCTATTATAAGCTTTAAATACCGTTTAGAAACAGTTTAGTAGAAGCGCTTTTAGTTCGTTGCTACCGGTGAAAAAGTGCAAGGATTTATCACAGAAAAAAATTTAAAATTTCTTAACTCGTACGCGATTTTTACATAAATCTTTTATCGACGTTCGTCTAAGAGAAAAATTCAAAAGTAAATCAAGAAGCTCGGAAACGAGAATAAAAGAGTAAATCCACGTTTCCTCCGCGTGGAAGATTACGCGACGTAAACTTCTTAAAATTCGTGGATGTAATAGAGAATGAAACTCGCCTTCCAGTCGTCTCCCGCTCTTCTTCTGACCATTTTAGCAATTTCCGAAAGGTTGGACAATGCTAAAAACTCGACCACGTTGTCGTCCTCTTCCTGTTCCAAGTAAGTCATTATGTTGAGGAAGTTCTCGTAGGAAGACAAATTCTTTCTGAAACACTTTTGCCGTTAAGTAGACGTAATTTGACGTAATAAAATAAAGACGACGGTTTATATTTACCTGGCAAAATACAGCGAGTCGAACAATAATTGATAGCGATTTACTGCGGGAATCTCCTAGAAATTTTCATCAATATTTTAATATTTAAAAAAAATTATTAAAACAATAAAATACGATCGATTAAAATGACATTTTATTTCCAATTTTAAAATGTTAACTTCACAAAGTTTTAATTATTTTCGAGAAAAGTGAAAAACGAGATAAAAGAAATAACGGTCTAAACTTTTAAAAGACCCGTTTTAAGCCGCTTATTTAGACGAAAAAATATATAAATATATTAATAATTTCTATAATTATTTTTATATTAAAATCGATGCTAATTCTTTCTATAAATATCTATTTTCCATTTAAACATTTTATTAAAAAAGTGCTCGGCTTGTTCCGACTTCGGTGGTGTTTCGCACATTCGAACAACAATTATAACAAGAAAAGGATGATCCTGTTTATTCTTACTTTCATCACGCGACAATCGGGAAAGTTGGAACGGGCCGAGATATAAAAAATACGAGGAACGTTCTCCTTTCCTCAATGGGGTGGAAAATTTTAAATTAAAATCGAATAGTTTTTAAACTTTTATTAATTTTATCAATTTTCCCGAAGATGGCAATTTTTCAACCATAATTTAAACGCGTCGGAAGAAGTCGAAGGCAAAAATAATTATTTTATTAAAAGTGACTGCCTTTTGACATTTTCTGGATTGGAGGTGGCCTTCGTCGCGGACACGAGGAGACTGTTATTCGGAAAAGATTCAGAAATCCGTCTAGAATTATTTTCCTGCCATACACTTTAAAGCGCCGTCGAATTGCATTCATTTATATCGAAAAGTGCGAAAATATATTGCGACAAAATACATTTTTGCATTTAATGGATTTTTCTAATTGAGTAAATTGAAAGCAGAATTGTGAAGACGTGTCTTGGCATTATTTAGAAAAAACTAAAAATAAAGGAAAGTATAAGAAGTATAAAATAATTGGAAAATGGTGTAAACAAAACTATAATTTGTACTGGATTGCCACTCGTTCTCGTCTTTAATTGTTAGGAGTAAGAATAAGACGGCTAGTCACGCGGGAACACACAATATATCACAACGATCACACGAAGCTTGGCTGTATTTTCCCGAGCAATTTTATACTTACTCCTAACAACACTACAATTATTTATTTATCATTTTATTTCGAGTCTTTAACCCCCAAAAAGATGTCGAAAAGCGCTTAATAATTTATAGGCCGGGCAAATTTTTCTCTTTGGAAATTCGTTAGGAACGTTTATGGGAATTTTCTGACACCGACCTCAAAGTCGTCGACGAGTTGACTAGCCAACAAGTCCCAATTTTCTTTATCGTAGTTGACGTGATAGAAAGCCGTCTGTTCGGGATTAAGCAGCAACCAGTTGTGCTTGTCGGCCGAAGTGTTGACAGTTCCTGAAAAATAAAAAGCCAATCTCTTACGCCAAGGGAGAAATACTCCATTGGCGAATTTTTTAAAAAATTAAGAGTTCTAAGTGGATGGAATAGCGAGTTTAAGGCTATAAAAAGGCTAACCATTTAAATGTAGCAAATAACCTTACCGTTGGAAGACAGGAGCCAAGTATCGATCTTTTCTTTGTGACTTCTTTTTTTCTGGTCTATGTAAGTTATGGGAATCTTCCACAAGCTTCGGGGTGTAAACACAAAAGCCAATTAAATTTATAATCGAGCGAAATTCCGACATTGGAACGGAAGAAGGGACATACGTGGACGAATCGTTCCGGCACGAAACTTGCGTCAAGCGAAAAGTAGTGGACGAATCTTGTCGAGAGACGGTTATCAACGGATGTCCCGGATTAATCATCCAGTTCTTTAGAAGCGTCTTCAAGTCGAAGGCGTAATGCTTGGACTGAGCCTGTAAATATAATTCCTATTTCTTTAATATCGGCCGTGTGGAAACGGAATTCCAACCTCAAAAATAGCGTAGGTCCGGAGTATTATTTTATATAAAGAATGGGTTTTATTGTAAAGAATTGCCATTAAAACTCACCTTGGTCATATAGTCCCAAAATTCGTCCTGGTCCACGCTTTTGAACGCTTTATCCTTTAGAAAATTCTAAAACATAAAGTTACTCTTGGTTTATTCGGTTTGTTAAAACTCTTGTCGTCATTAAGAAAGAGCGCGGCAAAATGACTACCTTCCCATTAACCACGTTTGGGGTATTCGTCGATAATTTATTTTCAACGGATTATTTTCTTAGATAAAGGACGAGAAAGAAAGCGACGTTACTTACGGACAAACCATCCCAGAAGTGTTTATCTCCCATAATGTAGTTGAGCATCCTTAAAATTCTCCATCCCTAAAAAATTTGAGAGAAATTATAAAAATATTACAAAATTTTACCACCTTCGCGATAATTTATTTACTAAATAATAACGAATTTTCACGTTTGACGTAAGAAAAGTCAAATACGAATTTGCTTATTCATCAAATAGTTTATTTTGATGTAATTATTGTCATAAAGGAGTCGATTGTCTCATTTACGTGTCGTAACTACAAATAAGAGAGATTTAATCTTCGGTGATAAAAAGTTCCAGTCGAGGAAAAAACTTGTAAAGTGTATAGGAACGAGAAAGGGTGGGTCGAAAACGTAGGCTGCAAATAATTAAAGTATAAGGAAAGAAACAAAGAAAGAAAAATAGAAACCTATTCGTCGAGACGAGCAACATTTTCTCTCGGACAAGATTGTTTTTCGTATTCCTTTCTGGTTTTTAAACTCTTTCCGTCGATATATTCGATGGCGGTTATCGATAATATCGGAAGTTGCCGAAATGCCGAAAATTCCAGAGTTACCATTAGCCAACTTTTCCGAAACCGCGAACAATAATCTCACTAAATTCCTCACATAAAACAAAACTTGTATATTAATTTAACTATAAACAGCTTTCTAACGTAATACGGCTTACTCCGGGTTACGGCTGGTTTCTACTTTTCTTTTCTGGAAAATTAGAAATTAACAAAACTTTTAAAATTCCGCGAAACGTTTCTTTCTAAATAAGTGGACACGCATTATTTAAAGAGCGGCGATGGTAAATAGTACGGCGAAATTTTATTCGGATTAAGTTTGAAACGATCGAGTCTAGCCAAACAATTATAAATAAATCGGGAGGATTTATGTGCCACCGAAATAAACGTAGAGAAAAGACGGTCGCGGTTATTTACGATAGAGACGTCGCGCGTATAACGAACGAATTTCCTTCCTACCGGTGCTTACGTGTTTCGTAACGACTTTTATTAAATCCGAAAATGTGTGGCAATTCCATCCAAAGGAAAGCCATAAAAAGAGGCACCCCCCGAAAATAAACTTTTGCCGCTTTTTATTACCGTACCGACGCGCAAGCCAAGAAAAAACAAGGGAATCGACTAGAGCGTTATTCGTAACAAACCGAGAAAGGGACCATTTCGAACCGTAATTCTTCGTTCGGCCTTAGAAAATTCTCCGCCACGTGGCGGATCCGGTCTTCCCGGAAGTCGAAGGTAAGGTTTATAATTTGTATCCGAAGGCCGTACGATTAGCCGTCGACGGAACAATGGTAGTTATTCGATCCCGCTACTCCGATTACGCGGTTCTCACGTCTATCGCTAACCATTGCCGATTTTTTTTACACTGGAAAAGTTGACACCAGTTTTTTACGCGAAACAAAAGTATCTCTTCCCAACAAACGTCAGGTGTTTCGAAACGTATTCGGCCGAGCTCGACTCGTTCGATAGCGCTCTTATCTTAGAATGGCGTTATAACAATTTGGCAAAAAGAATGTGTCGGAGACAAATACATTTTAAATGTATTCTTTTCGCCAAATTGTTATAACGCCATTCTAAAATGGTATTTAAAATTCTCGTTTTCGTAAGAACTCGATAAACACCAATGCCTTTCCATTTATTTTCTAATTTATTCGAGAATTTATATTACGCGTATCTTATTATGTAAGATATATATATAAGATGATAGGCGTAATACAGTCTTCATCGAGCGTTTGTCTATAAAAGTGGAATTTGAAAATGCTCGGCGGCGAAAACGGAACAGTTCGAAAGAAAAAAACGTAATAGACTTATTTTGAAAGAACGAAAATCTAAATGTATAAAATTACTTGTCCCGACTGACTTAGTCTCTGATTCATCATCGCCCAGAGCAAACCGCTAAACCTAAACGGGTGAAATTTACGTTACGAAAACGCGCACTAAGAAGGGATTTTTCGAAATTCCTAGGCGGAGGGGAGAGGGAGAGCATTAAGGCTTAACCGGAAGAACGACTTTTGAAATTGATTTCATACTTTCCCTCGAAACGGTTAAAAATTCGAAAGAGAGTGAAATTGGAAAATTTTCGGGAAACGGTCGTCGGTTCGCTTTTACAAGAACGGGTAGAGAAAGGTGGAAACCACGTTACCTTCAATGAAACGGCGAAACTGTCGAGTTGTTGCGAAATTTTCCAAGGTTTCGTCACGTTGTCGGACACGACGTGCTCCACTTTCGAACAGTCTTCTTCTACGTATTCGTTCAATCTCATGGTCGATTTGTCCATCTGAAAAAAAAGATCCGTCACCGGTCGACCGAGTTTTGCGCTACGGAGTAGAGATTTTACGCGGTCTTCCGTTAGACCGAGTAAAACTGGACAACCTTATTATTTTCTTCGGTTAAAACGATAATACGATTCGATACGTTCGGTTTAATATTTAAATATTATCTATAATTTGGGGAAGCGTAAAATAAACGTAGTTCGACGTTTACTCCGACAGTTTTACCACGATAAACGATAGAAAAGAAATTTTCTTTTCTGTAAAATAAGTGTTTCGCCCTTCGTACGGAAGGTAATAAATATAAACGAGATTACAGCGTTCTTCGGATAGGCCTATTAAGATTACAAAAAATTAATTTTTGTATATTAAAAGTTCGTTTAATTGGATATATTTAACGGAAGAGATAAATAAGAAATCGGAAGACAAAAAAGGACGTTTTCGATTTTTAATTAATACGTCGACGGAGTAATTTTCCTAATTGTCGCCTACATTTTTCCAGAAAAACTTTTTCGTTAGTTATTTGGTCACCCTTAACGCCCATTGACGAGAAAACTCGTCAAGGTTACATAGCGTTACGAAAAATTCGGTAGTTAAGGCCACTTTTGACAAAATTAATTTTTTCAATTTTTGGAATGTTTTTAGGTCCACAAATTTTTTGAAAATTTTTTGTCCGCGCGAAAAAATTTTATCGCGATTTTAATTAGCCTTTGATAAGGCTCGATTAAGGCTTAACTGTTTTTTAATGGGACTTTTTTTTATCAAATTTATTTCATGGTTCCTAAGTTGTAGCGCACGGATTTTCCTTCGGTAAAGTTATTTAAAGCTACTTTCTGATGTCAAAAACCACCTCCTATAGTTTTTGAATTTTTTTAATTAATAGATTTTATTATATACACGTTTAATTAAGTCGGGGGGGTCGGAAATCGCAATTAAAATCTTAATTTTTTAAAAATATTTAAAAATATAGGCGTGGCTCATATTCACCCTAGTTTAAACCCTTGTCCTCCCGAGAGGTCTATGAGAATGCCCCGGGAAATCCGACTCCAGCTGTGTTCAAGGTCATCCAACTGCGTAAACAATGACTCATCGGTGTCAAATTTGGCAGAAAGGCCAGACAAAGGAACTTAAACTTCCAAGCTTTTTCTTCAAAATTAACGCATTTCTTTCGTTTTTTTCAGTTTTAAGTATTTTCTATGTGTTTTTTTATGCTTAATTACATCATAATTAGTGACAGGTGGGCGTTAAGGGGTTAAATATTTAGAATTTACTCAAAAAGTTTCTATAACCGAATTAATCTCTAGGTATTTCTGCCGTAATTATATCCGACCAATGGCGGACTCGGCCGAATTTAATTAGTCCGTAACCTAAATTTTTTAATCAATTTATTATTCGCAGTCTTCGTAATTAGCGTCTCCTCTCTCTTAAGCGCTCCAACCATCCGTCGTAGTATTTGCGGTCGGCGCCAGAAATTGGTGAACAAATTGGACAATTTCTCGCCTTTCCCGCGCGGCCGACGATGTTTCGGTACGTAACATGCGCTGGGAGGCGCGCGACCCGCGCTTAACCGGGACTAAAGCTTATCCGAGTCCGACGGTGCCCGTCGGGACGCATCGCCGTTGCCTTATAAGGTAGCTCGGCCATTATTATTATCCTCCTTATAGCGTTCGAATTCGGGACGGTGGATTTAAAATTGCCACTCGGTGACCCGACCGATTACAATAAAACAAATAATACTCTAAATTATTATTATTAAATTATTAATATTAACTACTTTTCGCTATACGATAAGCTCTGGCTGTTAAGGAAAAAGTTAACAATTTACGATAATAATTCAACTTTTGCGGGCCCGGGGCTAAAGCCCTATTAGTCCTTGGCGGATCCGCCCCCGGGCCCGGGTCTCCGGTAATTTCGATAAAACCGACGAAACTATTTATATTTTTACATCTACGGAAACGTATCGAACGGCTTTTTGTATGGTAATCCCGGAGTAGTCGCGCCAAAGACTTCGGGGGCCGACGGCGCGCCTTTCTTCCCGCCGCACTCGATAGACCTAATATTTTCCATCGCGCCGGGATGGAGAAGGGCCCCGCATTCCGTTTTAAGGAGGAGCGTAGTTTAATTAAAAGTTTCTTACCCAATTCCAGTCGTCGTAAGATTCGTCGATTTCGTACGTTTCTAAGTAGGTGGCGAGGGACTCGCTCAGCCAGGCGTCGTTCCACCATTTCGGAGTGACCACGTTGCCGAACAGCTGGGAAAAAGGAAGAAGACTGGTTTGATCGGGGTCGCCGTTACTTCTAACCGACAATAAAAGCGTACCTGATGAGCCAGAGCGCGCGTTATTCGAGACACGGCCATTTGTTTTCTGTCCAAACTGTCGTCCTTGTCCAAAATCAAAGCGTCTTCGTCCGCGGTGATCAGCCCCCATCCTACGGTAGCTTTCTTCCGTTCGTCTTCCCGGTCGGGTTCGTCGTCGTCGTCGTCGTCGTTGGGAATGGCCAAAATATCTAAAAATTACCGCGGCCTAAGTCGGTCTTTCGCCCATTAAAAGAAAAAACCAATCAAATCGTTTATTTCGTACCTATTTTGTTTTCCGGCCGAGGAAATTGTAATCTCTTCAAAATGTCGTCGTACAGTTTAATCGCCTCTTCCAAACCGTCTTTAATTTTACTAGCCGTACTTTTCGACTTGGCCCATATCGATACGTCTGTCTAAATAGTATAATATAAACGGCGATTACGCGTCGAAATTCGTTACGGAATATTTTATTTTCTACGCGATTATTATTTCGTGGCGACCCGAAATCTCGCCGTCGAATACGTTGGAAAATGCCGAGGTAAGGCGAAAATAAGACGTTTTTCAAAAATTCCGTTTAAACAAGTAAACTGTTTTCGGGTGCCGATTGGAAGGGAGAAAAGGCGACGGCACTTTGGTAATTTAAACGCGACTTTCGTTAAGAAGTCTATTTAATGCGGTGAAAAATTAGCTGGGAATACGGCAGATTTTCCGCCTTATACTAAGATATTAAGCGTAAAAGACCAAATTGTACTAATCCGAATAACAAAGGGTTGGAGAAATGGACACCGACTTTTCGTTCGGTAAACGAGTGGCGGTCCGACAATAAAAAAAAATCTATTAGGCGTTTTATCTTACTGGTACGGCGGAGGACGATAAACGAGGGGAGAAACTTTTTTGTTTTCTCGGTCGCCCTTCAAGGTTATCGTATTTATCTACAGCTACTCGTCGTATTAAGTTAATTTAGCCACGGCCAATATTTTTTATCCAGTTTAAAGCTATTAAGTTGGCGTCACCAACGAAGAACGCGCCCTACGTTATTTAGAAACTTTTACATCCTATGGGAAGAACGGTGACGTAACCGGCCCAAACCGAGTTCCAGTTTAACAATATTTAGCCTAAAAAATGTCCACGTAAACGTAAGCGATTATCGACGGTGGTTAAGTTGGAGAAATTCATAAATACGAGCGTTTTTGTACCGACCACAATTACCATAACTATTATTATCGAAAGTTAAATAACGTAGTTAGTTGCGGAGGTTAAAAAACTGCCGAAAGTCGACGCGTACGAGTTAAATTTACTCATATTACGAGATTGGATAATGAGTGGCCGACTCGTCCGATTCTTCCAAAACTTTCCCCGGAGATTAAAAAATAAGGAAAAGCCCGGTAACTGGGTTACCGCATTTTATCGAAAAAGCTTATAATTATAAAATGGCAAAAGTTTAGATTTTGTGGGTAGGGAGGGGTTCGATCGCCGGTACAATCGTCACCCAGTCCGACCCTACACCCACTCCGTTACTTGCCCACTCCGCCACCTTTAACCAGCAAAATTTAATAGCGTCGATCCTCCGGTAAACCAGCCTCCGAGCAAAATTGCAGAAATTTTCGACGAAAAGCGCCACGGCTATTCGGCTGGAGAAAGAGTGAAGAAAACCCCGCACCCGCGCGCATACGCCAGGACTTACGTCCGTACGTACAGAAATCTCCCCGAATTTTTTTTCTTTTTTACATTTCTCGACGTTTCGAGGTGTTCCCAGTCCAAAACTGTAAAAATCTGAGGGGCGATTGTTGATCCCCGGCCATACTTTCCCTCCGTTATACTTAAGAGCCGGGAGAGTAAAAATAAACAAACTTAGAGAACTTTTCCAGCCACCTATTCTCTAACATATACGATACGAGGAGAGGAATAATTACAACGATAAAAGAGGCGCGTTTATTTTAGCCACCTTTTTACCTTTTCCCCGCGTCGGACTGCCGATTTCCGGGGATTTACTTCCGTAAACGGTTGGAAATACGGACGTCCACCCGCCTTCCTCGTACCCGGCGTAGAATTTTCCCCGGGGACCGTCCTCCCGCTCCCACCGAAATTCTGGGAAACGGCCCGAGCGCGATTGGATAAAAGACGTCTAAGCACGCGGTCTTCACCCGTCGACGGATTAACCGCCGCATCCACCGCGCTTAATCTGGGGGCTAAACCCGGAAGAAAGGGGTCGGGAGCGAAAAAACCGTACGGACGGAATGTAGGCGCCGGTATTTCGACGCTGCCCAGGACGACGAAAGAATATTTCCCTCCGTCGACGCTCGGGCGAACCGAGAAAGACCAAAGTTCTTAAAATACAAACGTAAACAAAGGAATAAGAGACGCCGACCGACGAGTATAACTCTGCCGCGTAAGTTACGCGTCTAACGTAACTGGGCGTAAGGTGGTATTCGACTAAGGGAAGAACGGAGCAAAGTCGGGAGAGGCCGGCGAGTCGGACGGTATTTAATCCCAATTTACGTCAAATCTTTTATACGACTTTTGGATTGCGGGAGTTTTCTTAAGATTCCGTCGGCCCGAGGTAAAAACCATAGCCTATTTGAATTTGCGTTTTAGACGACAGAAAGGCGGGAAACGACGTTTCCACCTCCGGATAACCGCATTTCGTCCTATTAGAAAGGGCATTTTCGACCGCCGTACATTTTAATTACCACGTTCGAAAAGTCGGAAAGACTTCGCCCGTCGATCGCCCGTGGCGGGCGGCCACTCTTCCGCCGTTTCTGCCCTTCGACTCCGGACCGACGGCGGCTCTCCTCTGTCGCATTCCGGCTTCCGTCCATCTCCGGTACCATTTACGGGGGACGAACACCGCTTCTTCCCAATTAGGGCCGTTAAAAAGTGTCCGGAGAGGAGAGACGGAGACGAAAAACCAGGCGCCGCGCTCGGGAGAGATAAAAATGCCGGAAACGTTTCCTCCGTCGCCGTAGAAAAAGTGGATTACGGCGGATATTTTCCGATAAACGGGGGAAACGACGGCGGGGAAGGCCGAGAGAAGCGATAATACGGCGGACGCCACCCGGGTGGGGGAGCCGGAGGGCGCGACATTCGCTTCCGTAAGACGGTAAATTCCATCTATCGAAATGTATTTGCGAATTTAATTAATTTTTCTGGCGAAAACCAAAAAAAGCGGCGAAGGGGTACTCGGCCCGATAATTTTACCATTTCGTCCAGACGGGTCGAGCTCTTTGTCGGGCCGAAACGTTCGAAGGCCAATGTAAAGAGGAGGACGGAGTGCCGAACTTCCTCCGGGAGGTATTTCCTCCCGGTTCGTATAATTTGAGGAGAATGGGTGGCCGTCCCTCGCCCGTTTCTCGGACGGAACCTTCGATAAACGTCCCGAAAGCCACGAGTTATTCTGCAAAAAAATCGACTCCGCCTTCTGGTAACCGCGGCCGAACGTTCGGCTCCGGCTACTCTCTCGGTTAGTCCGATTACCGTTTAACCCTAGGTCAAAGCCCGAGGATTACGCGATAAGAAACAATCCGATTTTATAACTCCTTGCACTGGTGACGTAATCCCGTGGCTTCTCCCCCCTTACTCCGGTTCGAAGGTAGCCCCGGGCCGGTAATCCATCCCCTTTCAAGTTTCGGGTTTCCCCTTCCGGTGGCGGGGGCGACGGAAGTACGTTTTTCCCTCGGCAGAAGAAGGCGGGAGATTCCCGGGCCCGCCCTTTAAACGCCGTGGAAAAGTAGACGATTACGGCCCGCGGCCCGCAAATACTTGGTTCCGCCCGGCCGATTTTAAATATAAAATCGATTGCCGCCTTTCCTTAACGCCCGACCGGACATTCCTTAACGTTAAGTCCGGTAAATTTTATACCCTGGAATTAAGAAAGACGTTTCCGACGTCCCGTCCGAAGATTAAAAAATAGGCAAACGGAAGATGCGTGGGGAGATGTCGACGGAGGGAAGAGACTTTTCCACTAATTACTTTTACCAAGAGCAAAAACATTGCAAATCCGAAAAGGGAAAACGGACGTTTGGCCCAAAGTGACGCCGACGGAGATTCGGAACTAAACTCCGGCGGCGGGAAGGGTGGGAAGTACCGTTTAAAGCGTTTACTCTCGATTCTTTCGTTTTCCCCGTTTGTCGTCCCTAATTTTTGGAGGCGCCGCTTATTCCGGTCGACCCGCGGAAAAGGACGAAACCGCCGCCGTTCGCGCCTGTTAAAACTGAAAGAAAGAAAACAGTTAATTGGCCCCTTCTCCCGTCAAATAATCCGCCCGGTCTTTCCGCGTTTCTACGCCGGTAGGTCCGAACCGAATTAAAATAGAAAAAAAGGGAGAATTTACCTTTTCGACGGCGGTGCCGGAAAACTCGCCCACGAAGAAGGCCACCAGATACGTAGATATTTTGACCGTCGAGTGGTACACGTCGGCTTCCACTCGGTCGTCCCTGCCGTAAACGGAATCGTTACATTCTTTCCGGGCGGTTATTAATTAACGCGGTCATACCGACCTGGTCTCGGTGCGTTTCTTGCGCATGTTGGACAGAGAGTTGTATCTTTTGGGCCTGAGGACGGTGACGTCGAAGCTGGCTTTCAGGGCGGGTTCGTCGAAACACGGAAACGCTCTTCTGGCGTAAGTGGGTTCGAAATTGGTTGCCGCCAAACTGCGTTACGTAAAACGTCAATGGCGTTAGTAGTTATACTTTAAAATTTCTATAATTTGTTAAGGAGCGCCGACGGAAACTTTTTCGTTAAATTCCCCGGTGGCGAAGACAGCCGGGAATACTCCCCCTTTTCCTAACGTTCTATTTCGACGCGGCCATTGTAAAAGAACCGAGTTCGTACGCGCCCCGTTGATTAATTTACCAACGTCTTCTTTCGTTCTCCTTCTAAACCTTTGGCTGGGAACAAACACCGAAATTCGATTATATAAACGATATATAAACTGGTAAATTCCCGCTTAAAAAATATTCTACTTTCGTAATCCCCGTTAAAAGAATTAAATTCGCTTCGTCCCAGCCATTGGCGGAGCGCGACGCGCGTTAAAATAGTGCCGCGACACGTCGCGTTACCTCTGGATATTTTGGCAGTTTACTCTTTACGCCCGGCCCGGTAGGAAATTACAAAGGTTACTCACAGTTTGCTCTCTCCGTCGGAGGTGTAGTTTTTCCAATAGAAACCTTTGGAGTCGTTTCGGAGGTGGCCCGAAAAGACCATCTCGATCTGGTACCTGTGGTCCTTTTTCAATTGTTGTTTGGTGTTAATGATGAAAAATTCGTTGTCCACGTCGAACTTGGTGTTTTTGATCGAAACTCGAGAGTCGGACTCGGTGATTTTCGTATCCGAAATATCCAAATCTTTGGCGTGGAGGATGACTCTGGTGGTGGACGAGGCGCAGACGACGTTGATGGTGACGTTTCCGACGAAGGTGAAGTTGTCGTCCGTCAGCCGGGGATGGATGTGGAGAACGTAATATTCGGGAACCAGATCGGAGGGGAGACGGAAGTGCAGCGGCTCCTCCTCGGACAAGAGAGGAACCACCACGAAGTACAGGATTAAGACGATGGCGATTATCAGCAGCGAGAGGATCAAAAGCAGACACAGGATCTTCCGTCGCTTTCGAGAACGTTTGGCGCGACGTTTTTCGTACTCCGCTTCCTCCATCGTTATCCTCCGAGTATCGCCCGAGAGCGAAAAACTCGGCCGGCCGACCTCTCATTGGTTCGTTTCGCTCACGTGACCCCGGGCGCTTTTACCATCGTCGGCGCGACCTTTTGTTTTCTCCCTTCCGCCGCATCCGGTTTTTTTTTAAAACAATTATTCTAATTAGTCGACCGACGACCGGACTCGGGCGTGGATAAACCGAAAAATTACAAGGAACGAACCCAACGAGCGGCTTATAAATTAATTGTATAATTGTCGGATCTTCCGGCGACTTTTCCTCCGCCGTCACCGCCATGGACGGAAGGTCGGGAACGACTTTTTACGGCCATCGAATGTAATTTTTGCAAGTTTTAAAGAGACGGAAACGTTGTTTGGAGAGGGACGGGTGAATCAATAAACGGGAAAAGCATTGTTCGACCGTTACGTTATCGGGTTTAGTGACGCGGCGAAATTATTCGAGCGCAAACAGGAAGCGCCTTTTTAACCGCGGGGTGGAAGCCAAAACCTTATTTACGGCCGCCCGGGGTAGATCCGAAGGAAACGTAATGGTAAATATGGATAAAATTGGCAAATTTTTCGTCTTTCCTTCCGATAATCGCCACCAAAGTGGCGTTTAGTTCCCGAAACAAAAGAGGAAGGAAACGGACGAGGCGAGTAAAATAGAAGTTTCCTTCCGAACTGAAAATGGAAATATCGAAAGATCCAATATACCGATGGGACGAGGCGCGAGATAATAGTTAAAGCGCCAAGGACGCGGCTACGGCTACATCGAATAATTTAACCGTTTAACGGGGCGACGTCCAATATCCTGTCGGGTTAAGACACCGCTTAAGACGTTTCTTAACGTCTTTTCCCGCTCGGAATTCCGAAAAACGCCGATTTGGCTGGGGATCGACGGACCAAAATAGACAATTATTTATAGATTAAAGACAGTGGAACACCGGCTGGGTTTGGTCGACGCAAAAATTATCGTTACTTCCCGGGTCGGCGATTAAACCGAGTTTCGAACCGTTCTCCGTCCGCCCGGTACGAAATACAATTAGGAGGTTACGAAGGAGACGAGAAGGAAGAGACCGGTGGCGCCTTTATTTTCCAAGGAGCGGGCGACGATCTCCAGGGATTATCGAGGAAATCGCTACAAGTTATTAACTTTCGACGTCGTCGGTGTCGGAAGCGGGAGGAAAAAGTGAGTAATTCGGAGGAAGCGAACGATTAGGGAAGGTTCTTCCTACCGGGTGGAGAAACACCCGCCGTCGGACACCGTAAAGTCCGAACGGAGAATCGCGTGGGTAGTTTAGGAACGGCGCCGATCTTCGACCGCAATTTCTTATCGTCTTAAGATTACTCGGTCCGTATGGTAAAATGGGCGCTTCGGCCGGAGGGAAAGAGAAATCTATTTGCGAGTTAAGAAACGCTTGGCGGTCGTCGATCCTTCCCTTCCTCGGATCGCTCAATTAAAGCGATAGTCTACGAAACGCCAATAAGGGATTTTTCGCCTAGACACATTCCATTTATGGTAAAAAGGCGCTTCCGGTCGAAATTGCCGGCGCGACGCTCGTTGGTCGGACTTTCCGTTATCGAGCGTTCTGGGAAGGCGGGTGGATACGAACCGAAATTCCCTCGCCCTTTCCAACGGTTTTATTTTATTCATTTATCTATTAAAATAGTTTTAAGATGGCGCTTAAGTCGGTGGGAAATTTTATTCCGTCCGACGTAAAACGTGACGCTACCAAAAATTAAATATAAAATCCTTTTTTAGTTTAGGTTGGGTCCGTTTGTTCTTTGGAAAATTTCAATTAAATCCCGAGTCCGTCGACAGAAAAGCAAAAATGTCCATCCGGAGTTAACGACAATTGTTTGAAAAGTGGCTTTTGATGGAAATTTACTATTCTCTAAGTCAAAATGTGGGGAAAATGAATTATCCGGTGAAAATTTCCCAAAAGATCGTTTTATTATAGACTTTTACGGAATAAAGAGTACGGAGAATTTCTGTTTATTTAAACGATACTTTGTGTCTTTTAATCGAGTCGCGGGTAGAAAATAAGATGGATTCGGCTTTGTTTTTTCAAACAACATTTTTGACATTCGTTATTATATTCTTCGGGGGTAAGAATCGACGGAAAGGCGTAAAGACGGACAAATTGCGGACGGTGGGAGGGCGTAACGAGGGACGGAAGAAATTGCGGCGGTCCAGCCGTTTCGCATACGCGCGTTGTCTTTTATTATTTATAAACATCGATCCCGGAATTATACAAATACTGAATTATTAATCGTCGGTAATGAATTTTTCCCATTTCTATTTCGTTTTCCTCCCTTTTTCACCCGCCACTCGTTGCGGAANGCGGACCGGAATTCCCGAACAATCCAAGAAAATTTTGCGGCGGTCCAGCCGTTTCGCATACGCGCGTTGTCTTTTATTATTTATAAACATCGATCCCGGAATTATACAAATACTGAATTATTAATCGTCGGTAATGAATTTTTCCCATTTCTATTTCGTTTTCCTCCCTTTTTCACCCGCCACTCGTTGCGGAAATGTTACGCGTATCGACTTTTTGTCGTAAATAATCGAATTGTAAAATTAGGCGAAAAGGAGGACTTTTATAATCCGACGCCTACCGAATTCAAAAATACGCTTCTGCCTTTAATCCGCTGGAAATATTAGCGCCCCAAGTAGAGCGTGACGGTCGGACGACTGCCGGACAAAATTATCGATTTTAACGAGTTTAAATTGCACTTGCGAAAGCGCATTATTCTTATATCGGTGATTTAGAAGAAAAGCAAAAACGATAATTTATAGGATAGGATTCATTCCGCGTTACCGGCGGTATTTACTCTCCACCCAGAACGGTCGTCGATTAATCCGCCTGCAAACGTTACATGTTTTTGGAAAATACCTTCCGAAAGTAAGATTCCGTCGACGGAAACTTCCGAATTAACGAAACGACGAGCCGCCGAGCGGAGCGAAAATTTACATCTCGGAGATTTCTTCCCCTCTCCGCCCCCGCCGCTACTTTAAAAAATATTACCGGGATCCGTTATCGGGGCCGACACTTTTTCCGGCCCTTAAAACGTGGCGAAGCAGAAACAGAACATTTCGCTTAAAGTTTCTTTCCCATATAAAAATTTATTAAATTCTAAGGAGAGGCGCCGTACAGTACATTAGAAGACCAAGAGGAGCGAATTAAAGATCGGAGTAGAGACGGATTTTCCAGGATTGATGCTGCAGCCAGTCCTGAACCGGTTGGAAGTTGTTCTGTCTGGACTTCAACACTTTCTCCAAATTCGCGTACAGAACGGGTTCTCTCTCCCTCAGCGATTGGTTGCGATTGTCGAAGACGTTCTCCAGCTGCCAATAATCAACTTTATAAGTCACTCGCTAATCGATTATTTCGGTTTATTTTCTGAAAAATTATTCGATTCCGAGACGAAAATATTACTCGGAACGTTTCATTCCTGGATGCGGTCCGAAGATTTTGCATTCGTTCCTTAACCTCCGACCCAAATACGCGATAGAAACGGCAACTTCCCGGCCTAATTCGTTTAACGTTTAACCGTTTTATTTGTAAATTAATCGAAAAATTCAAACGAACTCCATTACCTATAATTACGTAATGNTGGATGCGGTCCGAAGATTTTGCATTCGTTCCTTAACCTCCGACCCAAATACGCGATAGAAACGGCAACTTCCCGGCCTAATTCGTTTAACGTTTAACCGTTTTATTTGTAAATTAATCGAAAAATTCAAACGAACTCCATTACCTATAATTACGTAATGTAAAAAAGTATTTCGAGTTTTACTTACGATATTAGTAAGAGGTCGTCTCGCCTTTCGTTATTACTTTAGTATGGCGCTGGGCCCATTCGAACTCGGTACGGAAGTTAAAATATATTTTAATAAACGTTAAACTAAAATATATTTAGACGAGTAATTAGACGTTCGGAGAATTTCCGATCGACGGAATTAAACGGTAAAAGTCTATTTAGCCCAGGGGTGGCCAAACTTTTTTAACCGTCGACCCCCAACAACTTTCCAACACCTCACATTGAAAGTTTTATTACGAGTGCGAGTGTGTGAGGAAAAAATAAAACGTAGTGATTTCTGTACGAGCAAAAAAAAAGTTTCTGACCTCTTTGCCGCATCGACACCCCCAATGATGTCACATCGACCCCTGGAGGTCGATATCGACCACTTTGGCCACCCCTGATTTAGCCAATAATTTAAAACGATTATACTTCGGGTTAGCTCGGCGGACGAAAGAAAAATACTTTTAAAAGTGTCGTTACTATTGTACTTTTTGTCGGTTTTCGTCGCGCGTACAGTAATTAAAATAAATATTCTACCCGCGGCATCATTTTATTTATGTTTAATTTTTCCCTCTGGAAATTTTCGAAACGTCGATCGTCGTATAAGGTTAACGAAGGCAAAAAATTGATTATTTTATATTATCTCGGATGAACTATCGATACAATTGTACGGAAGTTCCTATTTTAATCGGGCATCCAAAATATGTCAAAAAATATGCGCCCTACGAAGAAAAATGTTCCGTATCGAGAGGCGTAGGAGACGACCCTCTGGGATTCCTCCTAGATGGCGTTACTACTGTATTTTCGAGCGGAAACCCATTTTTTTATTACCCGTTCGAATCGTACGGAAAAAATATTTTTATTTAGATTTGGGTCCGAGTTAAGCGCCTCGGTATTTTTCACTCGGACGATTCTGCGGTGTAACCTATACCCCGACGGACCCCGGCTCCCGTGTATCTACGTGTTAATAATAATAACGCGACCCCTGCGCGTAATTTTCCGATCACCCGGAATACGACGTAGCGCGGCAGTTATAAACAAAATTGAAATGTTCTAGGAATAAAATTTATTTTTAAGATACGCTGGGTGCAAAATGATTTCCGTAAGAATTAAGCTTCGGGTGTTTTTCTGCGCTCGTAGCTTGATAGAATTAAGCTTACGGCGGCGTAGACGCGAAATTCGATATTACGACAAAAATGATATAAATTGAGATTAAGAGGAGCGCCGTTGGAGTGGCTAACTGCTTATCTATCTAATAGAAACTACCATTTGGTGGTAAATAACGTATCTAAATTCTTCCAGACTAACAAAGGAGGTCCGCGCGGATTAGTATTAGGATCTTTACTTTTAACATTTAAATAAACGACGTATTAAAGGTTATTCCCGAAAAGAACGTCGTAATATACGCGGACGACACGTAATAACCTACGCGGACCGGAATTCCCGAACAATCCAAGAAAATTAAACTATGTTAACCAAAATAGGTATCTGTACGGTTCTCCGTAACTTAAGTATAAACGAGAACGAAACAAAATACATCTGCCCGGCAAATAGACATAAACTAGTAGATTTAGACCGAATAGAAGTAAGAATTAATAACGTACGCATCCAAAGGGTGAATAGCGTAAAATATCTAGTAATCGAAATAAATGAAAATCTCCGACGGCGCCATCGTATAATTACCGCGGCATTGGGCCCGTCTAAGTTTACTGGAAAACTTAAAAATATAAAGATATACCTAAACTTTGAGACGGTGTCGCGCTTATATCATATACGTACCGTACGGAGCCTGAATTAAGATACGGCATTTCTATACGGGCTACAATTTCGGACCGGCTTCGAGTCACGCAAAACGATCTCGTCGGAGCATTACGCAATCTACTTTATAATGCTACCGTCACTTTACATTACAGCCGGTCCAAGTACGAGCATTATATAAACAACAAGTTCTTCTAAATAGTTTTAAGTTAATTAAATTTTGCCAGAAAAAATCTTTCATTGGTAACCCGCTAAAAAATAATACCGACCTTCTAAATAACTACGGATGGAAAAATAAGCCGCTACCGCCAACGTCCGAACTACGTCGATTTATCGAGTGACATATAGGCTAATCGGAACGCTCCGAGAATAAAACGTTTGAAAATCTACAAACGATATAAAGTTTGAATTACGTTTAATTTTGTATGTCGATTGTTTTATTTTATTTCTACTTACATGTTTGCATTTTGTTTAGACATTCGAAAAAGGCCGCAGTGGCGTAAAACAATTTTATTTTTGCTAACAGCTTCAATTACGAACTCGTTATTCGTTATTTCCGGTGGGCCATAACCATTGGCTAGTCTATCGACCGAGAACAAACGTTGGATAAACGTTATAAATTGTTCTTTTATCGTAATTAATTGTTTAACCATTGCCGAAGACGACGATTTTCGTTTTTATTTAATCAGGGCTGTGGAGTCGCGTAAAAATCTACCGACTCCGACTCCGACTCCGACCGAGGGAGGACTCGTTACCGAAAGAGACCCGGAAATTCTCGTGTCATCACGTGACCTCAGAATAAAAGATTCAATAAATTGAGTTCTAAAAAAGATAGAACATAGAAACTTGTTATTCAAACGATAAAGACTCCTCTAAGTAATATATAAATATGTATTCGATAATTTTTACTTTTCCGGCTGTTATACAGAAGGAAAGTGTAGCGCTCGGTCAAAAAATGACCCTTTCCAAATTTTTACATTTTTGGACTCGGGACACCTCGAAATTTCCAGATACGCAAAAGATTTGAGTTTTTTTTTTTTCTATATGTGTGGATGTTAGACTGTGTGGGGGGCATAATTTTGTTTACCCTGTTTGAAGCCTAAAAATTTCTGTGGGTAGAGTGTTCGGAATCGGAGTCAGATGAGGACACAGGAGTTACTTATTAAGCGTCAAAGTGGTTGAACTAAATCGTGTCCCCGTATACATTCTAACATCTTAGGCGAGAATATCTTAACGGGTTTTACTGTACTATTATAAAATGACAAAAAAGCTTACTTTGAGGGTAGAGAGGAGTTTTATTTCTTTTTTAATTTTGAACGCTAATAACGAGTAAAATATTTCATTAAGAGATATGACACGTGAAACCTTTTATGTCTTCACTCTGTCGACCTTTAATTAAGAACCAAAATTTAATAGTAGACTATTAATGCCCCTTTATGCCACAGTGCCACATTTCGTTTCTTAAACTTTACTCGTTCTGAAATATTGTTTAATATCTCGGAACAGAAAATAAAGAAATTAAACAAATTAGACTTTAACACACACGCGCGTGCGAATTTTTTCCCTTTATTGACTTTTTTGTGGGGTTCGGGAGATCTTCAAACGTGTAGATTTGCAAAAAAAAAATGAAAACCTGGAGGGTCAAATTTGACCCGATTCCAATACTTTTCCGTTTTATATACATAACAAGTTGGTAAGTAAAAAGGAGTCGGAGTCGGCGAATTTCTTGACGACTCCGACTCCGACTCCACAGCCCTGTATTTAATAAAAGTCGACGTTACGGGGTTACTATTTTTAGCCGAAATCTGCATTGTTTCGTGTTGTAACTAATAGAATATACGGTCCCGTATATAAAAACTGTTTAGCGAAGACCGGAGAAATGGTCGATGCTTAAGCTTTCCACCTACATTAATTGAGCTAGTAAATATTTTTCCATCGAGGCTCTTATCTACCTTTAAGGCCCTTTCGGTCGCCCCGAAAAGAAATATCCCTAGACTTTTTTTATGTTTAAAAATGAAATATGTTCATACATTTTTATACATACGCCGTTGTTCGGCATTATATTTACGCGCGGGGTCATCACCAACGGCGTTCGCCATTACCCGGGACGGTTTACGTCGCTTTTATCGAGTTAAGCCGGAGTCACACACAGAAAAACACCACCGAAAATGTAAACCGAAAGCCAAAACCAGAAAAATTTTTCGTCCGTCGCCGGTAAAATTTCTGGAAAATCAACCGGAGAGGTGCCGGGTGGAAAATTTTTTCTGGTCACGTAAAATGTAGACGTCGACCAATCGGATCCCCGGGAGCGACGGCGCGTTTAAACGTCACCGAGGTGGCCGCCGCGCCGCCCGGGGCCGAAAACGAGAAACCGCGCCAGTTGCCCGGCTGCCATTTTGACACCTCCGCCGACGGTTACATCGCCGCTAGTAATACGAACCGACCCTCCAGATGGCGAAGAAGTTTATTTTTTTTTATTCCGTTTTTCTTTTCTTTTACGATTTTACGGGCGAAACACGGAATTCACACCGAACGGAAAATTGCCATTACGGTTAGGTGAGCGTTTTTCCCCGTAAAGCCGGAGTCACCCACGGAGCCGTTCCGCGCTCGGTTCGGAACGGCTCCGATGGGTGCAAACATCGCAATTATACCATAGTTTATTCCGGCCACGGCTCCCGTTTATTGCGAAACGTAATATAAACATTACATTTTAAGTTACGTATCGACAATGGTCACGTTTTACTCTTCGTAGCAGCATTTACCGAAAAGATTTCGGGAGAAAAATCTGCGCTCGAAAAATAAAAAGATCTTGGCAGTTATTCGGTCAAAGATTTAACCAACGACGCTCCGCCAGGAAAGAACAGTTTTGAACGTTAGGCAGAATAGAAACGACGGGTCGACAATTAAAGAGAAGTTTTTAGTAAACCCAAGAGAAACTAGTACGGCGGTTTCGATAACGTTATCTCTAATTTTAGCTGGATTATTTCGTTCCCAGCCACGCGCTAGGTTTCCTCCGATATTCATTTTAATACCCCCATGTATAAAAATACACAATACGAGTTCTTGATAACGTAATAAACGATGTCGTACGTACAATATAAAGAATACGATAAAGATTAGTTGACGGAACTTCATTTTTCTCAGGTAATTTATGAAAAAACTCGGAGGCGAGCCGTCGTACGCTTTTTCTAGCGTTTTGCCGGTAGGTAGCGAAACAAAGGAACTAAGGTTAGAAATAATGTGGTCGAAGCAAAGATTATTTTCTTTAATCGGCGAAATTCGTCAAAATTCTGTAGTAATTAGTTAAAACTATTTCCGTTATTGCGCGTGGTTGGCAATTGACGGAATTGATTGCGGCGTACTTTTGAAACGCGTGTTTTTCGTGTAAATGGAGCGACGGGGGTAAACGTAAAAGAAAATTATGAAAATACGTTACTCTCCCGGACGGAACGGACGGAAATGTCGTTCTTACGAAGAAAGCGTTAAAAAGCGCAAAATGCGGATGGGTGGCCGCAGTTTAATTCCCAATAGGATGGAAACGCTGTAATCTAGCGCTACCCGACATCGTTTATTAGGCTACATTCGACCGCGTAGTAAATTCAAAATGTCCCGGTCCACATTACCTCCACGCTCGCCATTTCCCCCACCCTCCCCTATACGAGTACGCGGAAGATTGGCGCCCATCGACCGTTAAGCATTTAGATTTAAACGGGATTTATCCGTTAAATCTATTATAATAAACGTTTACTTCTCTGTATCGTGCGAGGAAAACGTTAACGTCGCCCGCATCGCCCAGTCTCGAGCCGAACCACGCGTTCGAGCTTCTGCCGAAATTTTAACACCTTTCACTTACGCGCGGTCGGGTATGTCGCGCAACCCGCAATCATTTACGAAAAATCGCGGTTTAAAGTTTTTCGCGCGCGTTATAGGTCGAGTTCGATCAACGAATCGAACTCGACGTAGACGAGAAAGCGCGGGCCGGAAAAATCCACACGTCCCGCTTTTTTTCACAATTTTTTCCGAATTGCGCAACTCGGTGAAATATTAGACCGCGCGTTTGGCCCAAAAATGCTATTTTGTAATTATTAAAAAATCACTGGCATACTTTTAAACCAGAAACTGCGGACGGTAATCGATACTTTTCCTACGGCGCCGACTTCGCTCGTTGGCACCCGTTACGTCACGAAAATTTAGACCGTACTAAACGTATTAAGATTTGGGCTAGGTCCGGGACGTCGAAGCTCGGGTGTCCCTCGGTAAGACAGAGAACCCAGCCGGGCCATGCCGAATGAAACCGAGTTTCGCCCAGTCGGTAAAAATTTCCTTACGGGACAAAGGCCTCGTTCCCTATCGTTTACCGTAGATATCGGTAACGGATTTAACGGGTTTACTTGTTCCAACGATTTATAAATAAGAGAAATCTGTGGAAAGAAAAAAATCGTTTCTTACCTCTTGCAATTCTTTGATGTTTTGCATGGAATTAAATATGGTCGTAACCGTGGAATTATAATATCTAAAGTAAAAAAATAACCTTTATAACTTCTGGTCTTCCCAGTCGACGGCTTTTCTTGGGTAAAACGGGTGAAATAACTTACTTATTTACGATCGTCTCCCAGTTATTGTCGACGAAATCGAACAAACAAGTCCAGGCTATTTCGTTCTCCAAAATACTTCTGAACAACCCCAGTACGTCTTCGGAATCGAACCCGGATTTCAAGAGCGATTCTAAGTATCTACGATTCGAAATATCGACGTTAGCCCACTTTCCGAGTGGGAAAAGAAAATCGTAAGGTGGGAAATCGACCTGTTAATTTGCGAGACGTTGGTGGAGCACCCCAGAGCGTAGGTCAGCTCGTTNAACTAAAGTCTATTAAAGTTTGCTTATTCGACTCGAATCGTAAGGTGCGAAATCGACCTGTTAATTTGCGAGACGTTGGTGGAGCACCCCAGAGCGTAGGTCAGCTCGTTGTTCTTCTCGTATTCCGACAGAAGTTGCACCACGTTGTTCCAATCGGACGAGTCTCCGCGACGAACGGCGGTGCAAAACACGGTCCGAACCACCAGCGAAGACGATCTGTTACGAATTATATTCGAAAAAATAAACTAACTGGGCAAAATAATGCGAAATATCGAGCTATTGTACTTATTAAAGTGCTCTTCTTTCGCCATCCAAGATCTGTACTTCTCGGCCGCCCTTTCCAAACAGGGAAGATACTCGTAACTGCAAGTTCTATAAATCAGTTTTCTCCTCAAGAATCTAACGGCGAGAGACGAGGAATTTAGTTCGGATCGGTACCGTTGCCGCAAATCGACGGAGACACTTACTTAATTTCGTAACTGTCGTCCTTTCTTTCTTCCCAACCCAAATACTCGTAAACGGAACCCAAGATGAAATGCACGTAATTCTGACGACGAGGAAAACGTTAAGAAGATTAAGAATACGTTTTGCCAATATAAAAGCCCGCTTACCTTCCAGGCGTTAAACAATTTGTTATGTCGCACCATCTCGTGCACGTCGGACAGAGGTAAGTAGAAAAGAGCTTCCAGCACTTTGTGATCTTCTTCTTTCCTTAGGAAAAGGGACATTTCCAAAAGCGTGTCGTAATTTAACAGCTTGTCGCTACGGATATAAGCAATTTTATATAAATATCCACCCGACGACCAATTTTTCTCGACACGACGTATAAATTACGTACTTACCGCACGAAATAGCTTACGTCCCTTAGTAGTTGCCTGCGATTGACGACGGGAATAACCTGCAAACATTAAAATAACGGGCGTCAGATACGAATCCGACGTAGCAAAAGGACACAAAGATTTCGGAAAAGTAAATTTCTCACCCGATGATCCTTCTGAAGTTGCGCACTCAACAGTTTCCAGTTTTGCAGGTCGTAATTTACGTGATAATAACCCACTTGTCGAATATTGATTAAAATCCAATGTTCGCTCCCGGGCAGATTAAATAACGTTCCTAATGCAATTACCAGAGTAAATTACGCGACTTTTCTCGCCATTTACAAAAACAAATTCAAGTATTTTTAATACAAGTCAGAAAATATCGTTTATTACCTTCAATAATCGAGATTATGTCGGAGTTTACGGTCGCCGATTAATCGAATACGCAGTTTGAATATTGTTACGAACGTTCGCCGCTATTAACAATAATTCGAAATTGGCAAACATTCGATAAACTAAGTACAGTACGTAAGAATCTCCCCCACCTTGGAAAAAGCGAATAAATGAAGAATGACGCCGAGTCTCGGTCATAATATGTAAATCGGGAAGAATCGACAGAAACATCCGTTACAATATTTAATAATAGATTAAAGGTTAATCGAATATTAATTTAGTGCTACGTAAACGATTGGCGATAAACATATAAATAAATTATAACGTATTTACGGTTACACTCTCGGAATTTTAATAAAAACTCTTTTATAATTTTGAAGCGAATAAATACTTATAACGTTCAGAAGACGGACAAATTATCTGAGGTAAATCTTATTTAATTTTACATAAATTCAGAATAAAACACCCAAAGAAGTACCGGTGTTTATTCGAAAACTCGCGAAAACGTTTATCGTGTTTACGTCCCAATTACTTTTCAGTAAAAAAATCAAGCGGAGGTGTAATTTTGAATAAGTTCGTAACGAACGAACAAAGGAATCTTTGGAAGCGATTTCTTCGTTCATTTCTAGGAGTTTCCTTTCTTTTCCAATACACAATAGAGCGAGGTTTTTTCACCGTTTTCTCAACGCCCATCGGTAAAATTAATGAATCATTTTACGTGGACCGAGACATTGGACATATAATATTAGACAGTAACTAAATCGTGTTTAATATTATACGTCTAATCTTCCGAGTACCCGAATACATTCCCTATATAGGCTAAAACCTCGTCACAATATCGGGCTGCAATTTTTAACCATATTTTAAATTTATTTCGTTTAAAATATATGTTCTCCGCCTCAAATTAGTACTGTAGTCTTACCCCCGTACGTCACACTTTCCTTTAACAATAGAGTCGTGTCGGTCATCTATCTTATACGTTTCGAGAGAAAATTTTTGAATTTAAACAATGTGACTTTCGGTCTGCGTGGGAAATTCGTATATAGTTAATAGGGGGTCTCCCGCCTCTAAGTTTTTCGTACGTGGTCTCGGACTTCATCTATCTAACTCCGTTCTCGAGATTAAGGTAAGACGGGCGGACGACAGTGAGAATTTATAGGTCTACAATTTTAGAAATTGCAGCCCAATGAAAGCCGTTGTTGAATATTTCAGTTTGGTATTTAGTGATTGTATTCGTTCTCGTCTGGATGCTACAAACCCTTTTAATTATAGCCGTAATTGATAGAAAAACCGTTTAGTTTAATGTATCGAGAGGTACCGTTCGAGTAACTCGATTACTATTTAAATGTTATCCGTAATCGACTGAAACAGCTTCGGTACGGTCAAATATTTTTCTACGGATCGGAGATTGAAGAACGCCGCGTAGACTGCGATTTCGTCGGCGCGGAAACGATGGCAACGTTTTACTTCGGTGGGTCGCGACTTTTAAATTTGGTTATTGGAATGACGCCCGGCAACGATTATAGAATAACGAAAGGAAGAAGTTAACTGGATGAAAGGATAAAGAACTAGTGGAAAGGTATACTTCTACTCTAAAAGATGGACATTTGTCGCCCATCGCTTTATCGTTTGTCCCAATAACATTTGGCGATACGAAAGGTAAAACGAAAACAGTTTCGTGTATTTTAATCGATTCCGAGAAGGATTGGAAGAATCGCCTTATTTATTGGGAAATTATACTTTACCTTTGATGGTGCCCAACCATTTCCTAACTTTAGGAGTCCAATCCGGATTTCTTCCGTCCGTGTAGGTCAGGGGAATCTTCCACACGCTGAGAAAGAAATTTTCGTTTTTACGCTTTGTACGGAATTCTGTTCTAAGAAAATAGTCGCGCCAATCGGGTAATGGCGAAAAGTACGAGTCGGCAATATTTGATTTTTGGTAAAAGATCTCCCCAGCCGTTATTACAACGCTAAAGTTTCGTTCTTTTACCGATAAAAATTGGCCATTCGAAATTAAATATACCAACCACGTAAACCGTTACTTACCTTTTCGTTTCGGATTATTCTCCTGAGTAATTGGCTACCGACGAAAATAATTCGTAGTTCGAACGACCGCAAAATATAGACAATTTGAGCCTTAAATTGAAAGTCGAGAGTTATATTTTATAAAAGTACGACCGAAAGAAGGGAAAATAATTCCGAGTGGGGAAATATTCGTCTGGCCAATGTAGAGTTTTGAGTTGGGAAGTAATGAGCGAAAAACGGACGGAAATTACTTCATAGTGTAAAGGAACAGTTACCTGAGGAAGTTCTTATCCTTGACGTGTTTGGTCAAACAAGAGGTTTGAGTGAGGAGTGCCCTTCCGTTGTCGTAGTCCCTGACCGCGGTCACCACCGGATATCCGCGATTGTGAGTCCAAGATTCCATAATGCGCCCAATGTGGATGGCTCTCTCTTTCGGTTGAGCCTGAATATTAAAATCCGAGGTAAATCCAAAGTCTTGCAATACAAGTGGCAGAAACTTATATTAAGCCAGTGTTCCTTCGCGCTTCCTCTTCGCTCCAAAAAATATCGAATTTTACCCAGAAAGAGAAAAAGCTTTACTTTTTTATTTTTTCAGTTTAGATCGAGAGTAGCTTCCCCGCCAACAACGAAAAGTCAACCTACTGTATTTAAAGTACGTAGAACGAAACTTGTTATCGGTTAGACGCTGGCCGTATAACAGACACCTGACTTTAAATAAAAAACTAAAGTCTATTAAAGTTTGCTTATTCGACTCGACTGCGAGTGAACGAAGATCCGAGTTATTTAAATAACGTATAATTACGTCGCTTTACCTCCGTACTACTAAATTTATTTGTTTTCAATTATTGCGCTATTATATTATCCGGCTAATCGTCGACGTCATCGACGGGATAAACTTTGCTAAGGACTTTAAGGCGCGGGGAAAGTAGTCTAACGCGATATTAAATGCAAACCCGTTTTAGAGTGTGGAGTAAACTAAATGGGGCTAATTCGATGGTTAACATTTGCGTATCGTCTTCCCCGGACGATGGTAAACTTGGCCAAGTACGAATAAATATAAAAATAAAGAAAGTAACAGAAGAGCCGTTATTGTTTCTAACACAAACGTTACTACCCGATCGTCCTTCTATTAATTCTCCAGTTTTCCCCCTGGGCGGAAACTATTTTGAAACCAAACCAAAGCGCGTATTAATCCGTAATGCGGGTAAAATTCAGTAAGAAGCCGTTGTTAATACGTTACAATCAAATTATTACTTTTTAAGAATAAATCGTCTACCGATTTACAGAAAGAAACCCGATTTGGATTTGGTTTTAACAAATCCCTGTATTTAAACCATTTATTTAAAATTACCAAATACATTACGATATTTTTATTTAAATAAGTTTTCCTTGGTTATTTAATATAAAAATAAGTTGTAAGAAATTTCTAAGATGCAGTCGACACCCCTATAACACGGTAGATACGTTCCGTTCTTTATGAAATTGATGTTCTAAGAGTCCTCGAATACATGAGCCAATCACAGCCCGGCACGTGTGCAGTTTAGGGACTACGGCTGTTTGAAAGGTTTTCTTTCATAAAATTAATCGATTCTAGACTAATTCGACTCGACATTTCCAAAACACGTATAATTTTTTGGGAATAATCCATATAAACTATGCTATAAACAAAAAATCGTAAGATTACTTACCGAGTGTGCACCGTTCGACTACGCCGTCGCTTAAGCTCGTTTTCGTCGTGGAGCTTGTCATCGAATGGCGCTGGCGTGCTTCCTGATAAATTATTTTTTTGCGAAAAATTCGCTGAACTTTGGAGACATCATTAATATAAATATAATTTTTATGGACGTTAAATAATACAGGTATACCTCGCCTTACGTCGGTAATTGGTTCCAGGAAAACGACGTAAGTCGAAAAACGACGTAAGTCGAATTTACCTGTCTCCGAATCTACTTATCACTAGGAAAGCATTTTAAATAATATATGGTTAATAAAAATCTATTTTAAGCTTACAAACAAATAAATTTTAGTTTTTAATATAGTACAAAAAAAATAATCTAAATTTACGAATGCGTGTACTGTAAATACAGTACATACTTGTATATATTTTAATATGATTTTATGTGCTTTAAACGTTTATCTAGTGATATTACGACTTCAATATTTGTGGCGGACAGACGTAAAGTCGAATAAAATGACTTAAACTTGATTTTTATTTTTCCATATACTTTTTTAACAAGCGACGTATAATCGGGAACGACGTAACTCGAAACCGACGTAAGTCGAGGTATGCCTGTAAATGGTTTTCAGTAAGTCCGCTGCTCGTTTAAACTCAACGGTTTGTACAATATCCGCTATTGGTCTCGATTCGACCAATCCTGTCGCGACACTAGTCGGCGATGACGTTTTACCGAATTATACGAGTTTTTTAGCGTGTTTGTACGAATACTGTCGCAATTTTCGCCGTGATATAGGAATCCGAACTATAGGAACCCGTGTTATAGGGGGTCAACTGTATTCGGAAATGCGCAACTAGATATTGTATACGGCGGCCGGATGGCTGAGCGGTCAAGGTGGCAGCCTACCGCTCTAGGGAACCCGGGTCGAAAAAACTCCAGGAATTTTTTGGGGGTGGTCCGTTCTGATATGTCGGGTCTCGTCCCTCATAATCCGGCAGCCCCATTGTGGGCCTGGACGAACCCATAATGGGCCTGCAAAAAAGGCCCTCTTAATGCCCACAGGACGGAAAGAGTTTAAAAAATATATATATATATATATATATATTTTTTTTTTTAAATAATTTTTTAAGATTCCCGTGTCATATCATTCGAATTAGTACGCGGGCAGCTTAAATGGCGCCCATCGAGTCCTAATCTACATTTCGATAATCGAGCGGCGAATGTCACGAAATACGCGCCACTTACTTAAAAGAATGTCATTAACCCGCGCCACCGTCTAAGGCTGTGTACACATTAGGCGTTTTGAAACGCGCGTTTTAAAGAACCAAGAGTTCCGCATAGATATACACACTCAAACGCGCGCTTGGCCAGAAGCGCGCGTTGATAGATTTTGGTTAGAACGCGCGTTTCGCGGGCGTCAGCCGCGCGCTTTGAGATACACGCGCTGCCACGTTGTTGTACATTCGATCGCGCGCTTTCGGGTAGAGTGGACGCGCGTTGGCCGAAATGGAGAACGATCGTTTCGATACCGATCTGTTTTTTGATGAAATCTAAAAGAGACCAGCCGTCGTCAAATGATTTTATAGATATTCTAAAAAAATTAAAAAACTTGGGTTCACACTGTCTTAGTTTTGGATACAACGTCAGAAGCATTCCACGCGTCAGTCTATCTCGTAATATCGGGTGCACCAAAAATTCTCTTTGCCTCCGCCGTCGTCTTTTATAGCGACGATGGAGGAGTCGCACGCGAGCAATTACTTTCGCGTCCATTTCCAAACTGAGTCGGCACGAACGGTCGTCGAACGCCGAGCTAACGCGCGGTGTGCACGCTGCTAACGCGCGTTTAACGCAACGCCCAACGCCTAATGCGTACTAGCCCTAAAACGTTTCCACAAAATGCGCGTTGTCGGCGTCCAGACCCTCGGACTTCACCGTTTACGTTTTTTTCGCAACGGGGACAAAGTTGTCAGTCTATTCGCGCGGTGAAAAACAACAAACGGCGCAAAGAAGCGTGACAGCGGTGGAATCTCCATCGCTTCGTGCTAGCTGCGCGCGTGAGAGGTTCTGGTACGTTCGTACCTGGCTGGTTTAACTCGTTGAAATCGCCTTAATGTTTTAAAAACGAGAACAGTTATAAAATAAAAATAATTACCGGCGATTATTATTGTTCTTTGGATGATGAGGCTAAAGTTCGATACAAAGAAAAGCTTAAGCGATTTGACGCGGAGTGGCCCCATCTCTTAGACGTCGAACTACGCGATCCCTTTAGCGGCGTAACCACAGAATGGTCCGAAATCACTCCTCTCGGCCATATCGTCTAAAGAACAATTATAATCACTGATAATTATTTATTCTTTATTTTATAACTGTTTTTGTTTTTAAAATATTAAGACGATTTCAACGCGTTAAACGAGCCAGGTACTGTACGAACGTACCAGAACCTTGCACGCGCGCAGCTAGCCTGGAGTAACCGAAATTTCACCGCTGCCGCGACGCTTCGCGCTTTGTTTGTTGTTTTACGCAGTTGAATGTATATACCTATAGCCTAAACGAAAAGACGCTTGGTAATTAATTAACACAATACGTATTTATGATATGTGTATTTATGCGCGACAGATATTTTCTGTTAATAGTTATAAACTTTTCAAATACCACGTCCTCGCCGGGAAGAAGAAATGCGTACGAATTTTGTGACGGATTAGGACAAAGGGTGGAAAATGCTAGTAGAACGACGACATTCCGAAGATTCTCAAAAATTGTTTTTCCACTGGAAATAATCTTTTTTCACTAAAATCATTAGGCGGGTTGTGGCGGACGATCGGGCGGCGAGTTACGGCTTATTTAAATATAGTATGCGCGCTTTAGTAGAGGCGCCGTACTAAATACGCTGTAATAAAACTTTTAACACCGAATGATAATGACGAGAATTTAACCTTTACGGACGCAAATTACGGGCAAACATACCGCCGAAAGACATAACTTTAGTCGGGAGTTAATTAAGTTACCACTCTTCTACGGTAGATCGGTGAATTTCGTGTCCGCTTTTTTTATTGGCCCATCTTTAAACTTAGCCCGGGGTTAGCGGGAAATACGAATAAATTAACGTACCGTAGACGCTTTACCGAAACGCCGATCCACGGTGTGTAAAAATTGGAGAAGAAAGGTGACGGGAGAGAGTTAGGTCTTAAGTCCTTGGAAAAGGACTTAAAATCGGCGACCCGGTATTTGAACGACACCTTTCCGACGGATGTTTTACCTAGTCGGGGAAAATTATTTTGTTAAGGCGTTCTTTATTACTTACTTGAGTAAAGTGTCTCCAGAGATCGTTTTCTTCCACGCTGTCGAAAGACTTCTCCTTCAAATAACTCTAAAAATACACGTCGAAGCAATTATCGAGCAGGAAACTTTGGGCTTGGGTTTTGCGAGCGGGCTCTTACCGACAAACCTCTCCAAAAGGTTTCGTTTCCCAGGACGTGATGGACCATTCTGGCGATCATGCCACCCTTCAAAGACACGCCATTTTTATTCCAAGGCCGATCCCAACTTAAGAAATATTTTTCTTACCTTTTTGTAAGTGAAAGAGTTAAAGAGTCGAAAGAGTTTCGGCGTCCGATCGACCTTTTGAGAAACCGCGATGGAATGATCGGAGCAATCGTAAGCCACGATGTTTTCCACGCTTCGAACCAATCCGTCCACCTGAAAAGTTTGCTAGCGACGTCCGGAAAACGTGTTTCTTAAAGAAACGGCGGTGTTTCTAAGAAGCGCTACTTACCATATTCCACCCGGGTAGAACGGCGTCGACGGCGATACTCTCCAAGTAGGTGGCCAGACCTTCGCTTAACCAAATGTCTTGCCACCATTTGGGTGTCACTAGATTTCCGAACCACTAAAAAATTTCTCGACCAATAAAAATGCCAAACTCCTACTTAAAGACAAAGGAAACTTTCTTACTTGGTGACTAATTTCGTGAGCGATAATCCGAGAAGTAAACTGCTTTTCGGAATCGGTGTTAATCTCGGGATCGTAAAGAAGATTGGCGTCGTGATAAACGATCAGGCCCCAATTCTCCATGGCGCTGCTTTTGTGTTCCGGCACGGAAATCATATCTGGTAATAAAATATACACGGTATACGTATGCCTGGGTTATTGTGGCAGGAAGGAGGAGATCCTCGGCTACCTAATTTAGGAAGAGAGTAAGGCACTTGCAGAATATTTTCGAAGAATTTAATAAATTTCGGCGTCAACTCGAAAGCAAACTGCGTCCTATTTAGATTGTTTCTGGTGGTCCAGATGGCAAACTGAAAATACAGAAAGTCGCTCAGAAATTTCGTACAACGGCAAACCGCCGAGCGGAAATGCTTACTTTATCGTCCCCGTTTCTGTAAAAATTTCCCACGAATATGGCCACCAAATAAGTCGACATTTTTACCGACGTTTGATAAACGTCGGCCACCCAATCTTCGTCTCTGCATTCAAAAAATTGCCGAGTCAAAAAATAAAACGGGAGCAGAAGTGTATTATAAAAAAGAGGAGATAAGCCAGCCGATTCCCACGACATATTAGAGAAACACCAGCTCAAAGTATCTAGTTACGCCGGAACATGTGGTGTCGCTCGACATTTCTTCTCCATTAGCCACTCCTTTTTTCCCCGGATTCGATTTAATTGCCTAATTTTTAATTATTAAGTCGTTTACCTGTCTTCCGATTTAAGTTTCGGCATGTTGGACAGCGACGTCATGTTTCTCCACCTGACGATGGTTACGTCGAAAGTAGCTTTCAGGGCAGGTTCGTCGAAACAAGGAAAACATCTTCGCGCGTCTACGGGTTCGAAATGAGTAACCGCTAAACTAGAACGAATAATACGTGTCGAATTACACATACGACTAAAGTCGGGCGTAATTATTCTATAAAGCTTGCCAGTTAAGGTAAATATTTGCCACTACGGCCAGTTCGGATGCCAGAAAAAATACAAATAATTACCACACGCGTTAAACAGTTCTTTCGGTAAAAGAAAGTGCGTAGGTTACTTACTACTCGGTGGCACCGTCTTCCTGGTAAGACGACCAGTAGAATCCGACTTTGGAATCGTTGAGGACACCCGAGAAACGAAAGAAAATTCTGTAGACGTTACCCACTCGAAGACTTCGATCCAGGTGAAGAATCAGGAACTGATTTTCCTCGTCTTCCTCCATCCATTCCACCGTCAGCGTGGAATTATCGTTCGAGTCCGTCACTCGAGTTTCGTCAACGGTCAAGTTGTTAGAATGGACGGTTACGTTTTTAGTGGGAAGCGCGCAGGTTACGGTGACCAGCGCGCTGCCCCGGAAAGTCAAATTGTGCGGAGCCAAGTACGGACGTATTTCCAGCACGTAGTTTTCGGGCACCAGAGTGGGGGGCAAACGGAAACCTCTGGGCGCTTTGGCCGACAAAAAGGGGAAGACCACGAAACCGAAAACCGCGGCGGCCACCAGCGCCACCAGAGCCAGCAGAGAAACGACCAGAAGGGTCACCCAGTGCCTCCTGGCGAAATTGGAAGGGCGGCAACACGCTCTTTTCTCCTCGGCTCCCTCTCCGTCGTCCGAACACCCGTCCATGTTTACCGCTCGAATCTCCTCTCCATCGGCGCACCGACCGAACCCGAAAAAACATTTCGGCCGCTCTTCCCATTGGCTGCGGCCGGTGACGTGGCCGACGCGTCGGATGGGGACGGAGAGACCTTGACTGCGTTAAGTGGCTTTCGTCCGTCCGGATTAGTTCTTTCCGTTGTGTCGCCCTTTCGACATCCACCTTCCGTTTTGCTGCGGTTACCGATCGTGTTTACGTTTCTGACGTCTGGAAAATATTTTGCCGTCACCAGGCAAAATATTTATTTTACATCCCGCTTTCTCCGTAATTTCCGTAAACAATATTAGAACGCCACTTACCTGCGCGCCCGGACCCACTCGGTTTATACGTGAAGTTTGAAATTTTTTAAATGGGGAAGGTAAGAAATAAATGACGGTCGATGGGAGGGAGAGGCCGGAAAGCGCCTCGGAAATAATCTAGACTCGATTTACGCCACTTACCCGGTCACTCCGGACGGGGAGGAAAGTATTCGGAGATCGTTCCGTAAAAATACTTAACTAACGCGTTTATTTCGACGCCTTCACCCCTTACAAATCCCAGTCTTCGTCACTATTTCCCCCGCGGAACAAACCGGGCTTTGTCTGGTATTAATTCGCTTTATAAAGTTAAATATGCTTNTAATGCGAAATATCGAGCTATTGTACTTATTAAAGTGCTCTTCTTTCGCCATCCAAGATCTGTACTTCTCGGCCGCCCTTTCCAAACAGGGAAGATACTCGTAACTGCAAGTTCTATAAATCAGTTCTCTCCTCAAGAATCTAACGGCGAGAGACGAGGAATTTAGTTCGGATCGGTACCGTTGCCGCAAATCGACGGAGACACTTACTTAATTTCGTAACTGTCGTCCTTTCTTTCTTCCCAACCCAAATACTCGTAAACGGAACCCAAGATGAAATGCACGTAATTCTGACGACGAGGAAAACGTTAAGAAGATTAAGAATACGTTTTGCCAATATAAAAGCCCGCTTACCTTCCAGGCGTTAAACAATTTGTTATGTCGCACCATCTCGTGCACGTCGGACAGAGGTAAGTAGAAAAGAGCTTCCAGCACTTTGTGATCTTCTTCTTTCCTTAGGAAAAGGGACATTTCCAAAAGCGTGTCGTAATTTAACAGCTCGTCGCTACGGATATAAGCAATTTTATATAAATATCCACCCGACGACCAATTTTTCTCGACACGACGTATAAATTACGTACTTACCGCACGAAATAGCTTACGTCCCTTAGTAGTTGCCTGCGATTGACGACGGGAATAACCTGCAAACATTAAAATAACGGGCGTCAGATACGAATCCGACGTAGCAAAAGGACACAAAGATTTCGGAAAAGTAAATTTCTCACCCGATGATCCTTCTGAAGTTGCGCACTCAACAGTTTCCAGTTTTGCAGGTCGTAATTTACGTGATAATAACCCACTTGTCGAATATTGATTAAAATCCAATGTTCGCTCCCGGGCAGATTAAATAACGTTCCTAATGCAATTACCAGAGTAAATTACGCGACTTTTCTCGCCATTTACAAAAACAAATTCAAGTATTTTTAATACAAGTCAGAAAATATCGTTTATTACCTTCAATAATCGAGATTATGTCGGAGTTTACGGTCGCCGATTAATCGAATACGCAGTTTGAATATTGTTACGAACGTTCGCCGCTATTAACAATAATTCGAAATTGGCAAACATTCGATAAACTAAGTACAGTACGTAAGAATCTCCCCCACCTTGGAAAAAGCGAATAAATGAAGAATGACGCCGAGTCTCGGTCATAATATGTAAATCGGGAAGAATCGACAGAAACATCCGTTACAATATTTAATAATAGATTAAAGGTTAATCGAATATTAATTTAGTGCTACGTAAACGATTGGCGATAAACATATAAATAAATTATAACGTATTTACGGTTACACTCTCGGAATTTTAATAAAAACTCTTTTATAATTTTGAAGCGAATAAATACTTATAACGTTCAGAAGACGGACAAATTATCTGAGGTAAATCTTATTTAATTTTACATAAATTCAGAATAAAACACCCAAAGAAGTACCGGTGTTTATTCGAAAACTCGCGAAAACGTTTATCGTGTTTACGTCCCAATTACTTTTCAGTAAAAAAATCAAGCGGAGGTGTAATTTTGAATAAGTTCGTAACGAACGAACAAAGGAATCTTTGGAAGCGATTTCTTCGTTCATTTCTAGGAGTTTCCTTTCTTTTCCAATACACAATAGAGCGAGGTTTTTTCACCGTTTTCTCAACGCCCATCGGTAAAATTAATGAATCATTTTACGTGGACCGAGACATTGGACATATAATATTAGACAGTAACTAAATCGTGTTTAATATTATACGTCTAATCTTCCGAGTACCCGAATACATTCCCTATATAGGCTAAAACCTCGTCACAATATCGGGCTGCAATTTTTAACCATATTTTAAATTTATTTCGTTTAAAATATATGTTCTCCGCCTCAAATTAGTACTGTAGTCTTACCCCCGTACGTCACACTTTCCTTTAACAATAGAGTCGTGTCGGTCATCTATCTTATACGTTTCGAGAGAAAATTTTTGAATTTAAACAATGTGACTTTCGGTCTGCGTGGGAAATTCGTATATAGTTAATAGGGGGTCTCCCGCCTCTAAGTTTTTCGTACGTGGTCTCGGACTTCATCTATCTAACTCCGTTCTCGAGATTAAGGTAAGACGGGCGGACGACAGTGAGAATTTATAGGTCTACAATTTTAGAAATTGCAGCCCAATGAAAGCCGTTGTTGAATATTTCAGTTTGGTATTTAGTGATTGTATTCGTTCTCGTCTGGATGCTACAAACCCTTTTAATTATAGCCGTAATTGATAGAAAAACCGTTTAGTTTAATGTATCGAGAGGTACCGTTCGAGTAACTCGATTACTATTTAAATGTTATCCGTAATCGACTGAAACAGCTTCGGTACGGTCAAATATTTTTCTACGGATCGGAGATTGAAGAACGCCGCGTAGACTGCGATTTCGTCGGCGCGGAAACGATGGCAACGTTTTACTTCGGTGGGTCGCGACTTTTAAATTTGGTTATTGGAATGACGCCCGGCAACGATTATAGAATAACGAAAGGAAGAAGTTAACTGGATGAAAGGATAAAGAACTAGTGGAAAGGTATACTTCTACTCTAAAAGATGGACATTTGTCGCCCATCGCTTTATCGTTTGTCCCAATAACATTTGGCGATACGAAAGGTAAAACGAAAACAGTTTCGTGTATTTTAATCGATTCCGAGAAGGATTGGAAGAATCGCCTTATTTATTGGGAAATTATACTTTACCTTTGATGGTGCCCAACCATTTCCTAACTTTAGGAGTCCAATCCGGATTTCTTCCGTCCGTGTAGGTCAGGGGAATCTTCCACACGCTGAGAAAGAAATTTTCGTTTTTACGCTTTGTACGGAATTCTGTTCTAAGAAAATAGTCGCGCCAATCGGGTAATGGCGAAAAGTACGAGTCGGCAATATTTGATTTTTGGTAAAAGATCTCCCCAGCCGTTATTACAACGCTAAAGTTTCGTTCTTTTACCGATAAAAATTGGCCATTCGAAATTAAATATACCAACCACGTAAACCGTTACTTACCTTTTCGTTTCGGATTATTCTCCTGAGTAATTGGCTACCGACGAAAATAATTCGTAGTTCGAACGACCGCAAAATATAGACAATTTGAGCCTTAAATTGAAAGTCGAGAGTTATATTTTATAAAAGTACGACCGAAAGAAGGGAAAATAATTCCGAGTGGGGAAATATTCGTCTGGCCAATGTAGAGTTTTGAGTTGGGAAGTAATGAGCGAAAAACGGACGGAAATTACTTCATAGTGTAAAGGAACAGTTACCTGAGGAAGTTCTTATCCTTGACGTGTTTGGTCAAACAAGAGGTTTGAGTGAGGAGTGCCCTTCCGTTGTCGTAGTCCCTGACCGCGGTCACCACCGGATATCCGCGATTGTGAGTCCAAGATTCCATAATGCGCCCGATGTGGATGGCTCTCTCTTTCGGTTGAGCCTGAATATTAAAATCCGAGGTAAATCCAAAGTCTTGCAATACAAGTGGCAGAAACTTATATTAAGCCAGTGTTCCTTCGCGCTTCCTCTTCGCTCCAAAAAATATCGAGTTTTACCCAGAAAGAGAAAAAGCTTTACTTTTTTATTTTTTCAGTTTAGACCGAGAGTAGCTTCCCCGCCAACAACGAAAAGTCAACCTACTGTATTTAAAGTACGTAGAACGAAACTTGTTATCGGTTAGACGCTGGCCGTATAACAGACACCTGACTTTAAATAAAAAACTAAAGTCTATTAAAGTTTGCTTATTCGACTCGACTGCGAGTGAACGAAGATCCGAGTTATTTAAATAACGTATAATTACGTCGCTTTACCTCCGTACTACTAAATTTATTTGTTTTCAATTATTGCGCTATTATATTATCCGGCTAATCGTCGACGTCATCGACGGGATAAACTTTGCTAAGGACTTTAAGGCGCGGGGAAAGTAGTCTAACGCGATATTAAATGCAAACCCGTTTTAGAGTGTGGAGTAAACTAAATGGGGCTAATTCGATGGTTAACATTTGCGTATCGTCTTCCCCGGACGATGGTAAACTTGGCCAAGTACGAATAAATATAAAAATAAAGAAAGTAACAGAAGAGCCGTTATTGTTTCTAACACAAACGTTACTACCCGATCGTCCTTCTATTAATTCTCCAGTTTTCCCCCTGGGCGGAAACTATTTTGAAACCAAACCAAAGCGCGTATTAATCCGTAATGCGGGTAAAATTCAGTAAGAAGCCGTTGTTAATACGTTACAATCAAATTATTACTTTTTAAGAATAAATCGTCTACCGATTTACAGAAAGAAACCCGATTTGGATTTGGTTTTAACAAATCCCTGTATTTAAACCATTTATTTAAAATTACCAAATACATTACGATATTTTTATTTAAATAAGTTTTCCTTGGTTATTTAATATAAAAATAAGTTGTAAGAAATTTCTAAGATGCAGTCGACACCCCTATAACACGGTAGATACGTTCCGTTCTTTATGAAATTGATGTTCTAAGAGTCCTCGAATACATGAGCCAATCACAGCCCGGCACGTGTGCAGTTTAGGGACTACGGCTGTTTGAAAGGTTTTCTTTCATAAAATTAATCGATTCTAGACTAATTCGACTCGACATTTCCAAAACACGTATAATTTTTTGGGAATAATCCATATAAACTATGCTATAAACAAAAAATCGTAAGATTACTTACCGAGTGTGCACCGTTCGACTACGCCGTCGCTTAAGCTCGTTTTCGTCGTGGAGCTTGTCATCGAATGGCGCTGGCGTGCTTCCTGATAAATTATTTTTTTGCGAAAAATTCGCTGAACTTTGGAGACATCATTAATATAAATATAATTTTTATGGACGTTAAATAATACAGGTATACCTCGCCTTACGTCGGTAATTGGTTCCAGCAAAACGACGTAAGTCGAATTTACCTGTCTCCGAATCTACTTATCACTAGGAAAGCATTTTAAATAATATATGGTTAATAAAAATCTATTTTAAGCTTACAAACAAATAAATTTTAGTTTTTAATATAGTACAAAAAAAGTAATCTAAATTTACGAATGCGTGTACTGTAAATACAGTACATACTTGTATATATTTTAATATGATTTTATGTGCTTTAAACGTTTATCTAGTGATATTACGACTTCAATATTTGTGGCGGACAGACGTAAAGTCGAATAAAATGACTTAAACTTGATTTTTATTTTTCCATATACTTTTTTAACAAGCGACGTATAATCGGGAACGACGTAACTCGAAACCGACGTAAGTCGAGGTATGCCTGTATT